GGGAAAAGGACCATGTACAGCGTCGAAAGAGGAGGAAGGAGGGGACTGGTACGGTGAGAAATGAGGAATTAGAAACACCCATCCCCCGTCCCTCCCCCTCCATCTCCCATCTCCCATCGTCTCGTACTCACCTATCCCTCTCCACCTCCCCGACCCCGCCACCCCTCTCAACCATGGTCTACCCCCGTTCCCCATCCCAGACATCTGATGTATGGATGTTTGACATCGGTGCCCCCAAATAGTCCGACCCTTTCCCCTAACGTCTCTTCCTCTATCTTCACCCTCCTCTCACCTTCCTCGTTCCTGCTGACACGTTGAGGCATGGTTGAGGGCCAATTGCTATCTGTCATGGTTTCTGTGGTCTTCAAACAAACCCGCACACCCACACACGCTCCTGGTCACGGAGTTCGACGTGCAAACACCCGTCCTCTCCCGAGGGTTTCGTGGGCGCCACGACTCCTCCCGGGGGCTGTTCAACGCTTGCAAGACGGTCGAGGACGGTGACCGAGGCCAGATGCCACTAAGACGTCCCGATATGACCTCACGATCACCCAAGGTGGCTCAAGAGGCTTGGAACCCTGGTAGCGCCCGAAGAGGCCAACACGATTCATCCCACCGACCCTTCAGGGCGTAGCTGATTTAGGGAGTTCGTTCTTCGAATCCCCCTTCTTCGCCTTCGGGGAGAGGTTGATCTATGCCCCCTACTGGTAAACACCCCCTTCCCCGCCCTACCAGCGGCAAGATCAGAACCGTGCCAACCAAACCCACGCGAACTCTATCGAAAAAACACCAGCATCTACAAGTTGCGGCACCACATTTGACCATTCGCGGGCACCACACTCTAACTGCGCATTGTTCTTGAAAGGGATGGTAGGGGGCCCTCATATTGTCTAGCGCGCGGGCAAATTATTCCTCTCGAAACTCACTGTAAAATGATCGCAAGTGGAAACACCATACACCATGATGGCCGCACCACCGTCATGTTGCATTTGCTTTTGACAGAGATGGTTGGGGGCCGACGTGCTTCCTGATGTGGTGCATCTGGCGCACAAGGCCGCCGGGCACGCTTGGACACAAGGGCGCCCGACGAACCTTGTGAATGTGGCGTGCCTCGCCAAAGTCGTGAACTTTGCGGCGTGGCGGAGGTGTTGGTTCCCAATGACTGTCCGTCCGATGGGCACTGCTGATTATGCTGAGACTCGGGTGTTTCGTATGTGTTGGGAGGGCGGGTGGGGGTGCGCGAGACTGCCTGCGGCTTGTAGGTAGCTTGACCCCACCCCCCGCCCAGCCCAGTGGGTTTGTACAGGCGGCCTCGCGAGGGGTTCACGCGTCCACGACGCCTGCACATGGCCCATATCGCTCAAGGACGCCTGCACGATGGCACAAACTGGTCCAGGACGTTTCAACACAGCATCCAAAATGACACCAAGAGGCTTTAATATTAGGTCGGGCATGTCCTCCAACGTAGCCAAACCATACTCCAGAATGGTGGACCAGAATCGAATCATCGTTCCCTGACTTTTCTTGTTTCTCTCGAACCAAAAAAAAGCATGTTCGAATATTCCCCCTGTAGAAAGACAGGCCCGACTTAACTGTCAGAGGGCCGCAAGATGGCTCCATGTGGTCGCGGAGCCTCCCAAGGGCGCCCCCGAGCGCCCAAGCTCAATCAAACGCGTTGGCCTTGACGCGTTCTCGTATCCGATGGGCTTCTGCGGCCCTAGGATAGTTCTAATATGGCCCCGTTGAGGAACAAGAGCTAGGTTGGGCGTGTCCTCCCATAGGCGGATGGTGGATGAACGATAAAACATAGTCAAATGAAATGAAACATAGAAAATGATGAAGCAATCGTCCCCAGGCTAGTTCTTGAATATTCCTCCTGTAGAGGGAGGGGCCCGACTGAGCACAAGAGGGACCTAACAAGGCCCCCCCACGGCGTCAAGCGCGCCCCACGATACGAGCTGTCCGCCTCCGCTGGGGTGAGCGCAGTCTCCGAGGTGGCTCCCGAGGCCCAGAAGCGGGCCCCCAGGAGGGCTTCGGCAGCATCCAAGATGGCCCCCAGTAAGCTGCCAAGAGGCTCCCAGATCTCGGGGAGACATCAGACTCGGGTTCGGGGACTCGGGTTGGCTCGGCGGGGCCGCCAAGTAAATGACGAGGCCCAATCTGAAACATGACGCGCACTCCTGCTGCAAACACCCCTCAAAAACTGGGCCGTCAAAACCTAAGATTGGCCGATCGAAAAGAATGGGCAAACCCGAGTAAGGGCGAACTCGAATTTTACGTTCCCCCCGGATATCGAAGAGGGTGCCATGACGGCCCCGAAACCGTCCAAGGGCGCTCCGAGAGCGTCCCACGAGGGACCCAAGAGACGATTTGCCTCCTCCTCCTACTCCTGCTCCTCCTCCTCCTCCTCCTCCTCCTCCTCCTCCTCCTCGCCCTCCTCCTCCTCCTCCTCCTCCTCCTCCTCCACCTCCTCCTCTTCCCTCCCTGCCTGCCTCCCTCCCTCCCCTTCCTCCCTCCTCCTCCTCCTCCTCCTCCCCCTCCTCCTCCTCCTCCTCCTCCTCCTTCTGCTCCTCCTCCTCCTCCTCCTCTTCCTCTTTCTTTGGTTAACCCTGCGAGCTCGGCCTGGTTCTTCGTCTCCACCGCGTCCTTGCGCTTCTCGTCCTCCGCGGCGTTGGCCTCCGCGTCCTTGACCATCCTCTGCCATTGCGGTGGGATGCGGCGAGAGGGGAGGGAGGGCGATGCAAGCTGATCCCCCCTCCCTTCCTCCCCCCTCCCTGCCTCCCACCCTCCCCCTCCTCCCCTTCCTTCACGCACCGGCGCGCGGGTGGGGGGAACATGAGGGACGATGAGGGAGTAGCGGCAGGAAACTGACGCGTAGATGTGACATGGTGGATGGATGGAGGGGTGGGTTAGCAGGAGAAAAGGGAGGCGGGGAGAGGGGGAGGCAGGATGAGTAGGCGCGGAGGGTCCTGCCGGCTCCCGCCCTTCTCTCCCCAACCATTGTCCTTCGCCCCCCTCTTCCCCCGCCATCCTTCCTCGCTCATCTCTCCCCTCTCCTTCTCTTCCCTCCTCCCTTCCTCCCTTCGTCCTCTCTCCTGCGCTGCTCCACGATAGATCATCCCTCCCTCCTCATCCCCTTCTCCGTCCATGCTCCTCCGCTCATGCCTCCTCCCTTCTCCGCCTTATGTGCATGCATCCCACCTCAAGATGGATTAAGAACATAACACATAGACTTCCTGAGGTCCGCGTGAACCTCCGACAGTTCAACTGTATGCTCATTGTTCTTCCTTTACCTCCTCAATCCCTACAGTCGGGCGTCTCAAGCACTGAACGCTACACAAGGGACGAAGCTCCTTTTGGGCCCCAAGAGCGCATGCGTGGGCGAGGAGCGCCAGAGAAACAGCTATGGAGGGACCTGAGGAACAGCGAGCCCCTTCCGAACCCAAACTCGTCCTCATTTCAGCGTCTTGGCTGTGCCTCCCCCCATCATGCCTCCTCTCGCCTTCTCCCTGGTGATCCTGTCGACGTCGCCCTTGTCCAGCGTGGTGGAGCCGGTGATGGTGATGGTCTGCTCCTTGCCCGTGCCGCGGTCCTGGAGGGGGGGCAAGGAGGGGCAGCATCAGGAACAAGAGGAGATGGATGCGGCCGACAGCGGGGAGAAGGAGGACAGGGCGAGGAAAAGCACGAGAAGGTGATGTCTTGCCGTCGCTCGGACGTCTATTGTCCGCTTCGTGCGTGCTTTGGTTGCTAGATGGTACTGTATGCTTCTCGATTGTCCTCGCCGAGAAACAATGCACACGTCCGAGCGATGCCAAGGGGCAACAGGAATAGGAGTAGATGGAGGAGACGACAGGGGGGAAAATAAGACAACATGAGAAACAAAACGAGAAAAAGATACCGTCGGTCGGCATAAGTAGGTGGAACCATGACGCCGAACGGCGCTGGGAGTAGATTGGGATCCCGCCCACCCCCTGAAGAGGAAAGAGAAAAAGGCACTCGACGATTGAAGTAGGAAGGCGCCTACAGTAGACTAGGGTCTGGGAATCCAAGAACACCTACAGTCGAGGCGCTGACCTAAGGAACCCTAGTCAAGGAACGAGGCACCTTTTTTCTCATCAAGCTGGACTCCGATGTCATATCGAAATCTTGACGACAACTTCGGGCAAGCGGCGAAACAGTAGTCGGTGTTGGACACACCTCCCTTGAACAAACCTCCCTTTGGTGAAAACGGCCTAGGACCGAAACCGACGGACCTGGACCCGCAAACATGACGGCCGCGACGCCCTCTCGCGAACCGAAAACGGCCAATTCGCTGATCGACGTGTCCGGGCAGGAGGTCCATCCACCTCCGACGGTTACAGGAACACCGAGCCCCTCCCCGACGAGAAGGGCTCCCCCTTCGGCGCCCCGGCGACCCTCCCGACTAACCGGCGTGGCTTGAGAGGCGTCGCCCGTGGGGCCCGCGCGCTGCGCCGCGGGGCCTGTGAAGGGGCCCCAGGGCACGAAGATAAGATCACACAAACAACAGGGTTCCCCATACTTTCCATATGTTCTGGGCTTTTGTCTTCCCCCCCCCCACTTTTATGTTGTTCCCATCCTACTTAAGGACCGCATCCGAGGAATAGTTTCGAGCACCCGGAAAAGTGCCGAAAGAGTGTCGAAACAGTGTCGGGCGAGTGTCTCCCATGGTATTTCAGTGGTGCTCGAAATCCCACAAGCCCTTTGGGCGTGAGTGGTTTAGCGAGCCCGCTCTGTTCTCAACCCCCTTCTTCCCCTTCGGGGAGGGGTTTACCCCTCCCCCTACCCCCTCCCCCTGGGCCTGGAGAGGGCGTTTCGCGGGTGGTTGGAGGGGTCTTTTTCGACTCCTGGGAGGGCTAAAATTCGACACCCCTCACGAGGATTCTGGCCCCGACGGGGGGGGGGCAGAAAAGTGCTCGCCCCAGCTGTGATCGATCGCCCGAAAGATGGCCCCCAGATACCTCCCAGACCCCTCCCAAAGAGCCCCTAAGAGGCCCCAAGAGGCCTCCAAGAGGCCCCCAAAATGCCCCCAAGAGGCCCCCAAGAGGCCCCAAGAGGCTCCCCCGAGGCACCCAAGACGCTCCTGGAAGCCCCTGGAGCCGCCAAGAGGCCCCCAAGACGCCCCAAACGGCCTCCAAGAGGCTCCCAAGAGGCCCGAAGAGGCTCCCCCAAGGCACCCACCCGAACGACTCACACCAGGACGAGGGGCCCGACCGACTCACACCACGAAGAGCCCGAACGACTCACACCAAGAGGAGCGGCCCTAACGACTCACACCAGGACGAGGCGCCCGAACGACTCACACCACGAGGAGCCCGAACGACTCACACCAGGACGAGGGCCCCGAACGACTCACACCACGAGGAGCCCGAACGACTCACACCAGGAGGAGGGGCCCGAACGACTCACTCCAGGACGAGGGGCCCGAACAACTCACACCACGAGAAGCCCGAACGACTCACACCAGGACGAAGAGCCCGAACGACTCACACCACGAAGAGCCCGAACGACTCACACCAGGAAGAAGGGCCCGAACGACTCACACCAGGACGAGAGGCCCGAACGACTCGAACCACGAGAAGCGCGAACGGCTCACACCAGGACGAGGGGCCCGAAGGACTCACACAAGGACGATGGGGCCGAACGACTCACACCACGAGGGGCCCCAACGACTTCCACCAGTCGTCGTCGTCGTCGTCGCCGCCGCCTTCGTCGTCGTCGTCGTCGTCGTTGTTAGGATCATCGCTGTGGTCGTCGTCTCCGCTGAATCCCTCTTGCCTCCCACCGCTTTCTCTCCCTCCTCCTCCGCCTCGCCCTGCTCCCGCTCCCACCACAAGGAGGATGTACAAGGAGGCGGGAGGAAGGAGGAAATGCGGGGGCAAGCGGACACACGCCTGAAAAAACACGACTGTCGGCATGCTTCGCAAGAGTTGCTGCTGTTTTGAGATGGGCTGGTGGGGATACGCGAAGCGTGAAGAATTCTTCCTGGTGGTCGAGGATAAAGTAGGCTGGAACATCATAACCCCACTTCCCATATTTTCCAATGTGTTCCTGGGGGTCGACGAGGAATTGTGCCTGTGTGTGATTTCCCCTCCTGAGCCTGGGCCCCTCGAGGCGTTCGGCTCGCCGCCCCAGGCGCGGGCCCTGCTGCTCCCGCAGCCGGCACGAGGAGCGGGCGGCGAGGAGAGCGGGGAGGGAGCGGGGATCGCGAGGAGGGGCGGAGAGGGGAGCGAGGAGGAGGAGCGGGAGAGAGGAGGAGGAGGGGGAGGAGGAGGAGGGGGATGGAGGAGGAGGAGGAGGAGGAGGAGGCGGAGGAGGAGGAGGAGGAGGAGGAGGGAGGAGAGGAAGGAGGGGAGGAGGAGGAGGAGGAGGAGGAGGAGGAGGAGGAGGAGGAGGAGGAGGAGGAGGAGGAGGAGGAGGAGGCAGGAGGAGGAGGGAGCGAGGGGAGGGAGGAGAAGGGATCGCGAGGAGCAAGATCGGGGAAAGGGGAGGAGGAGGAGCCAGGGGGGCATGGGGGTTGGGTGGGCCTGGTCGCACGTAAAGTCGTGCGCTCTCTCTCTCTCTCTCTCTCTCTCTCCGTATCTCCCTCTGTCCTTCCCTTGTCTTTTCCCAACCATCCTGTGGTGTGGGGTCCGCGTTTTGAAGAGACGGTCCCCGCGTTCTCCCCTCCTCCTCTGCCCCCTCCTCCTCTCCACCGTCCGCATGCGTCCCGCACGCCCAGTACAGCGTTTCGTGGCCCTCCCCTCCCCACCCAGTAAAGCGTTTCGTGGCCCCATAGGGAGCCCGACCGAAGGTCCCAACGCTACCGCCCGCATGCGCCCCGCACACCAAGTACAGCGTTTCGTGGCCCCATAGGGAGCTGCACCGAAGGTCACAGTGCTACCGTCCGCATGCGTCCCGCACACACAGTACAGCGTTTCGTGGCCCTCCTCCCCCTCCTCCCTGCGTTTCACCCATCCACTACAGCGTTTCGAGGCCCCATAGGGAGCCCCACCGAAGGTCACAATGCTACCGTCCGCATTGCGTCCCGCCCGCACACCCAGTACAGCGCTTCGTGGCCACATCACCGAAGGTCCCAGTGCTACCGTCCGCATGCGTCCCGCACACACAGTACAGCGTTTCGTGGCCCTCCTCCCCCCCCTCCCTGCGTTTCACCCAGCCAGTACAGCGTTTCGTGGCCCCATTGGGAGCCCCACCGAAGGTCCCAGTGCTACCGTCCGCATGCGCCCCGCACACCCAATACAGCGCTTCGTGGCCCCATAGGGAGATCCACCGAAGGTCCCAATGCTACCGTCCGCATGCGCCCCGCACACCCAGTACGGCGTTTCGTGGCCCTCCTCCCCCTCCTCCCTGCGTTTCACCCACCCAGTACAGCGTTTCGAGGCCCCATGAGGAGCCCCACCGAACGTGCCAGTGTTACCGTCCGCATGCGTCCCGCACACCCAGTACAACGTTTCGTGGCCACATAGGGAGCCCCACCGAAGGTCCCAATGCTACCGTCCGCATGCGTCCCGCACACCCAGTACAACGTTTCGTGGCCCTCCTCCCCCCCCCCCTCCCTGCGCTTCACCCACCCAGTACAACGTTTCGTGGCCCCATAGGGAGCCCCACCGAAAGTCCAAGTGCTACCGTCCGCATGCGTCCCGCTCAGCCAGTGCAGCGCCTCGTGGCTCCACAGTAGCACTGGGACCTTCGGTGGGGCTCCGTATGTGGCCACGATGTACTGGGTGGGTGAAACGCAGGGAGGAGGGAGCGGAGGGCCACGAAACGCTGTATTGGGTTTGCGGGACGCATGCGGGACCTTCGGTGGAGCTCCCTATGGGGCCACGAAGCGCTGTACTGGGTGTGCGGGACGCATGCGGACGGTAGCACTGGCACGTTCGGTGGGGCTCCCTATGGGGCCACGAAGCGCTGTACTGGATGGGTGAAACGCAGGGAGGAGGGGGAGGAGGGCCACGAAACGCCGTACTGGGTGTGCGGGACGCATGCGGACGGTAGCAAGGAGGAAGGGGCAGAGGAGGAGGGGAGAACGCGGGGACCGTTCCTCAAAACGAGGACCCAACACCACAAGATGATTGGGAAACAAACCGTCAAACAGACGCAACAATGCTCAAAACATACTCAGGAAATCATCCCCAAACTATTGTTTGACTACTTTTGACTACTCCTCCTGTAGAGGGACACGTCCGACTTAAGGCTGGAGTGGGGAGACGGCAGACGGAAGATAACGATGTCAGAGGAGAGGGCGTCGAGGATCCAGAGGAATCGGACTGGCCAGTACAGAAGGGAGATAGGGGAATTTGCAGGTCGAGCGCGGGTGGGGGATAATAATCAAAAAGAAAGGAGCCCTGTAAATAACGACCCTTTCCCAAGAGCCGAATTGTCATCCTGAGTAGCGAGGGTCTGTCCTGGGGCCGAAACTCGCCCCGGGATGCCAAAAACTGATTACAACGACAGTCTTCACAGAGAAAACATCATTTGTCTGGGGATGAGCGCGTTTCTTCGTTTAGTGTGTGGCAATTGTGTATGAGTGAAACTTTACGTTTGTACATGTACGTAGGTGTGTGTGTGTACATACATGTGGTCTATCGACCTATGGTCTGGGGGGCTCAGCGCAGTCCTTGGCGGCAACATTCAGGATGCCGTTGGCGTCGATGTCGAACGTCACCTCGATCTGCGGAACGCCCCTCGGCGCGGGTGGCACCCCGTCCAGGCGGAACGTGCCCAAAATCTTGTTGTCCTGGAGCGCAGGGTGCGGCGGAAGAGAGAATCGATCTGCCTGAAATTCTGATAAAGGCTGGGTGGGAATGTCAGCCCCAGAATCGGTGACCAGATTAGAGGCTTCCTAGATGGGGTCGGAGGAATCGCGCCGCATCGGCGATGCATCGGCGATGCATCGGGGATGCACCGGCGACATCGGCGATGCACAGGCGTTGCCAGCGCGGGGAAAATCGGGCTCCACATCGACGGCGCGATGCATCGGCGATGCAGCGCGCTCTTTCCGACCCCGTCTGCTCCGACCCCATCTGCCAGGAGGCCCAGGCAGATCGTTTCCTGCATGGTCTCCCAAGGATGGGGGGGGGGCGGCCCCAGAGCCGGCCTGGAGAGTCTTTCGTGTGGTCTCCCGGGTTGTCTTTCTTCTGGTCTGCTGTATGGTGGCCAATGTGGTCTGGTCTCACTGATGGACTCCCGTATGTCTTCCCACCAGATCTATTATGTGGCATCCCATATGGCACGTGATAAACTGCGCTCTATGTTATATGCGGATTCGTCATAATACCATCATCATCCGAATCATCAGCATGATAACCATCATCATCATCACCACCACCATCGGCATCATCACCATCATAATCAGCACCATCATCACCACCACCATCATCATCATAATCATCATCATCATCACCATCATCATCATCAGCATCATCATCGTCATCAGCATCATCATCATCATCATCATCATCATCATCATCATCACCATCACCATCACCATCAGCATCATCGTCAACATCATCATCATCATCAGTATTAGCAACGCTACCACCATCTACCCGTGCTGCATCGTTGCTCACCTGTTCAAAACCACGCAACGCCGAGGTGAACAATGCCGATGTAATACGGCAAGACATACTTGGCGGCTACCTGCTCGCAAACTTGGGCCTCCTGAGGTGGCTTCCCGGCCTGTGACCGCTATAATAATGAGCTTGCACGGTGTCCCCTGGGGCCGTATGCGACGAGAGGAGGAGGAGGAGGAGGAGGAGGAGGAGGAGGAGGAGGAGGAGGAGGAGGAGGAGGAGGAGGAGGAGGAGGAGGAGGAGGAGGAGGAGGAGGAGGGGGAGGAAGCGGAGGAGATGGAGGAGGAGGAGGAGGAGGAGGGATGAGGAATAGGAGGGGGAGTAGGAGGAGGAGGAGGAGGAGGAGGAGGAGGAGGACTGGTCGCCTAAGCACTTCGGAGAAACCCTCCTGAAGAGCTGGCCCCAGGAACTGTGCCGAGGCCTCCCGCGCGACCACGAACGTCAATTCCGGTAGCGACGTCGCAGGAGAGGGTGAGGCCTCTGAGAGGCCAGTTGTGGCCTGTCAGGGGGCTTCTTGCGGGCATCTCGCCTCTCGGAGGCCTCTATGGAGGCCTCCGGCGCTGGGACTCGAAGAGATGCACGGGTCCAACCTCCTCTTTTATCCCCCTCCTCCTCTGACTGTTTCTGGGAGAGGGCAAACGGGGGGAGGAACGCGGTGAATCCACGTAGTTGTGCTCATCCGGAATTGGCGACATCTGGGTGGGCGTCTGGAAGGCCTCTTCGTCGACGGCTCTCGGGGGGGGGAGGAGGGCGGTGTTCCCGGCAGGAGGGTTGGGAGGCAGCCTCTGGTAGCTCTCTTCGTGGGAACGATTGATGGCTGTGAGGCCTACTCGCGGGGCCATCAGCAGAGGGATAAGCCGAATCTTAAGCAGGATTGAGCGGGACTCGGTCAGAACAATAGCTGGAATTCGGCAGGATTGGGGCAGTCTTCGACCACGGACCAGCGCCGGTACTGACATCCCCCCCCCAGGACTTGCCCTCGGAGAGGGGATGGTCAGAAAGACAATGTTCAACAGGGATGGGAGATGAGGATGAAAGGAGGGTGATACGTAGATGGAATCGAGCGAGCAGGAGTTGAGAGATGAAACAGGAAGGCCCCGAGAAAGAGGGCGTGGACAGGGGGGGTGAAGTGCTAGCGGGCGGTGGTAGACTCTAGGCGGCTGCGGGGGTTCCATGCGCGTCTTGTCTAAACCCACAGAAGCTCTAGGAATGTAGGGGTCCGGGCAAGGAGGATGATGAAGAAGAGAAGACGAGGTGGGACACGTCGCTGGCCCAACGGGCTAAAGGCGGGCTAAGATCTCCAATAAGAATCAAAAGGTTCGGCATGTCAGTGCTTTACCAGATCGCGCGCGTGTTCAACCCCAAGGTGTCCCCGCAAGAGCAGCACCCCAGACTCAGCGCCGGAAGCGCGCGCGACTCGGATCAGAAATGTTGCTCCGTTTGGGGCGGCCTTCACGGCCCCCAGGAGCGCTCAAGGAGCGCTCCACAGGGGCTGCAGGAGAGCATAAAGAGGGACCAGCAGGGTATAAGAGCGGCCCAAAACGTGCAAGATGTTCCCAAACCGAGAGGCCAAACTCAGTTACATCATTATGCACGATTTTGTTAACTTCAGCGTTCTCGCCTTCTCGGCCTTCCGACGCTCCACAACGGCCAACGAGGCACCCAAGATCGCCCCAACAACAGCCCAAGAGGCGCCCGAATAAGCCCAAAACGGCCAACACAGTGCAAGAGAAGGCCCTCAATAAGCATCCTCAGGCCCAAAGACCCCCCCCAAAAAAGGCATCAAGAGTCTCCCACGGGCATGCAAGCAAGCATGCTCGCAAAGCTAACGATGTACAATATGGGCCAGGGAGCCGTCAGAAATGGCCATCTGTTCGCATGTCCCACGAGCCCCACGAGCGGCTGCACGGGGTCTGCAGCAGAACCCAAGAGAGTTCGACACGGCCCAAGAATACGTTCTAGATGGTCTCTTCACGGTCCAAAGGGGCTCACCTACTCGGGGGAGGAGGAAGAGGCGGAGGATGAGGAACCGGAGGAGGAGGAGGAGGAGGAACAGGAGGAGCAGGCCACACGCCCCAAGAGCGCTCCCAGTTGGCCCTCAAGGAGGCCCCGAGAAGCAAACATCATAGATTATCCAACAAAACAACGTTTCTGAAGGACTTCAGAGTTCTCGCCCTTTCGGCCTTCCGACGCACCAAGACGGCCAAAGAGGCAATCGAGACATGTACACAAAAGGCTCCAGACCCGGCTCGACTCTCCCCTTTCCCCCCTTTGTTCCTCCCTCTCATATTTACACAAAATTGCTACGACTCTCCACTCCCGCTGAGTGCATACAGAAGATATCCCGCCCACTCTGTATATTGCAACTTCACACACAAGATTTCACAGATTGCGACTTCCTCTGTTGTGCAATCCGATCCGCCACTGTCCCTCTGGTACGAAGTGGAGTGCCCCAAGGCTCATGCAGCTCTGAAAAGGTACAGGCTGTGCTGCTGCTGCTGCAACCGGACTTGTAAGTCTTCAAGAGCCCGGGCCAGTCGTCTCCCAAGCCGTCTCAAGCCGTCCTGGGGCTCCCCCATGAATTCTGGGATGTTTCTGGACGCTGTGCACGCCCAAAACGTTCCAAGAGAGCCCCGACGTGCCAAAGCATCACTCAAAGACTCGGTCAATGGCATCCAGACGGCTCAAGAGGCTTCAAAGAGGCCACCAAAGAGGGCCCCAGACGGCCCTAGAGGCCCCCCCCAGACCGCCCCAAGACGGCCCAAGAGGCTTCCAAGAGGGCCCAACACGACCCTAAGGAGGGAATACGGACCGAAAATCCAAGCCATGCGCCCCAAGAGGCTCCAGGACGCCCAAAGAAGCGCCCAGGAAGCCTCATGAAGCACCCACGAGGCCCCCAAGACGCCCCAAGTGGCCCCCAAGAGGCCCAACATATGCCCCAAGAAGCCCCCAAATGGCCCCCAAGAGGCGTCCAAAATACCTCAAAGATGCACCCGAGAATCCCCGTCACGACACCCCAACGAACATCAAGTACGCTTCATGCCCACAACCCAGGCACGGTGGCAGGATGGGCCGAAGGCCATTCGATCCGCCGCCCCCTGTTGATTCACCACTGGGGCTTTGGCCCGTCCCGCCGGGGTCCCGGGAGGCTTTTCCAGGACCGCAGTGACCTCAACGTCCACAAACAATTCTCCAAGACGGCTCAAGATGGCCTCCAAGATGACCATGTTGGCCTAAGATGGCCTCCAAGCTGGTCCAAGATGGCCTCCAAGTTCGCCCAAGATGGTCCAAGACGGCCTCCAAGACGGCCCAAGAGATTCCAAGACGGCCCAAGACGGCCCAAGAGGCCCTCCAGAGGCCTCAAAGACGGCCCAAGAGGCCTCCAAGAGGTCCTCCAGGAGGTCTCGAAGAGACCCAAATAATTGATTCCCTATGGTTTTTGAAAGATTTTGGCATTCGCTTCGCCTTGGCTTTCCGACGACCCAAGACGGCCCAAGAGCCCCACAGCGCCCAAGAGGCCTCCAAGATGGCATCAGGACTGCCCAAGAGGCCCCCAAGACGGCCCCAAGAGGGCACAAAGACGACCCAAGAGGCCTCCAAGACGCCCAAGATGGCCTCTAAGACGGCCCTGGAGCACCCCAAGAGGACCCCAAGTCGACCCAGACAGGCTCCCCGAAAGGCTCCCGACGGCGTCAGACGGGCCAGGAGCCCACCAAGATGGCCGAAGTTGGCTCGAAGCTGGCCCAAGACGGCCCAAGAGGCCTGACAGAGGGTCTCCAGGAAGGCCCGACAAAGCCAAAAACATTGATGTTCCGTAGGTTTTTGAAAGATGTTGACATTTGCTTCGTTTCGGCCTTCCGACGGCCCGATACGGCCCAAGAGCCCCCAACGATCGCCCAAAGATCGCCCAAGAGGGCTCCAAGATGGCCCCAGAACGGCCCTAGAGGCCCCCAAGACGGCCCCAACAGGCCCCCAAGACGGCCCAGGAAGCTTTGAAGACGCCCAAGATGGCCTGCAAGACGGCCCTGGAGCATTCCAAGAGGGCCCCGAGCCAACTCAGAAAGACCCCCCAAACGGCTTTCGACGGCGTCGGACGGGCCAGGAGCCCACCAAGATGGCCGAAGTTGGCTCGAAGCTGGCCCAAGACGGCCCAAGAGGCCTGACAGAGGGCCTCCAGGAAGGCCCGAAAAGGCCAAAATTATTGACTTCCCATGAGTTTTTGAAGGATTGTGGCATTTGCTTATTGTTCGGCCTTCCGACGGCCCCAAGTGCCCCCGAAGATCGCCCAAGAGGCCCAAGACGGCCCCAAGAGGCCCCCAAGACGGCCCAAGAGGCCTCCAAGACGCTCAAGATGACCTCCAAGATGGCCCAAGAGCACTCCAAGACGTCCTCCAAGAAGGCCCGCAGGGTCAAAATGGCCTCCAGGCGGCCAAGAGGACCTTCAAGGTGCCCACGTGTTCCCCGAAGGCTTTCCCAACCGATTCGGGGAACACATGGTCCGATAGCTTGGCAGGTCTGGCCTCCACGTTCGGCCACGTAGGCGCTTCCAAAAAGGCAGGGGGCGGCGGTGATTCGCCGTAGGCGTCTTCGATCCGCCGCCCCCTGTCGATTCATCGCAGGGGTGCCTGGCGTGCTGGACTTCTTCGGTTTGGTTTTGGTTATTTTTTCCAGAAAGACTCCCCCTGGCGCTTCGGCCCGTCCCGTCCCGCAGGGGTCCCGGGAGGGAACTCCAGGCGCGCAAACGACCTCAACATCCACAACCAATTATCCAAGACGGCTCAAGATGGCCTCCAAGATGCCTGAAAGACGGCCAGGATGGCCCCAAGATGCCTCCAAGAAGGCGAAGGAGGATGATGAGGCTTCAGATTGAGAAAGAGGTCAGCAGCAGGGATCTGGTTGACGACGGGAGTCAACGGACGGATCACGCTGCTGCCCTGAATAATGCAGCACCCGCAGACCACGCACGTCGATGCCCGTGCCACCGGTAGTCACCGGTAGTGCCTAACACACATGGCGAACAACTCGCGGGAGATTGAGAAGGCACGGGCAGAGAGAGAGGCGAGCAGCGAGGCCGAGAGGAGGGGCGGCCGGAGCAGGAGAGGACGGCGGGGGTGCAGAGGTCCTTCGCGAACTGGCGCTCGCCCTGCAGGACCACGATCTCCACCGAGGGCTGCGAGTCCACGGCGGTGGAGAAGACCTCCGCCCATATGCGGGCCCCCAACACAGGACAGAGCGTGTCGGATGGGGCAGCATTGGCAAAGAACTGAAATCGGATCGGATCGGCTGCGCAATGCAACAACTCCATGCAATCGTCAAGCAGCATCGGATGGTCGCGGGAAATCAGAGTCGAATCGGATCGAGCCGGCCGGAATCGACATCAAATCGGATCGATCGGTCCGAAATGGACCCGTTTTGTCGTCTGCCTCGACTTCCTCTTCTCCACTCCCCCCCTCCTGCTCTCCATTATCCTCGTCCTCGTCATCCTCCTGCACGTGCTGCTCTGCCTCCTCCTACTCCTCCTACTCCTCCTCATCCTACTCCTCCTCATTGTCGCCGTTGTGATCGGCGTCGTCCACATCGTCATTGGCGTCATCATCATCCTCCTTAGCATCCTCCCCTCGCTCCCCCTTCCTTCAACTTGTCCTGGTCCTCCTACTCCGCCTCCGCCTCCTCCTCCTCCTCCTCCTCCGCGTCCATCTCCTTGCCGTCCTGCGCGTATTTCCCGTCCTTCTCCACACCCTCCTTCTCGTCCTCGCCCTCCTCCTCGTCCTCGGCGTCGTCGCCCTCTTGTTCTTCAGACGAAGATGCTTCTTCGTGACGTGGACCCCCCGAACCCTCGGCCTCTCGGCGACGAGCGAGGGGGAAAAAGAGAAGGAGACGGCCTTCTCGGAAGGCGGCGGGACTTCTCAGAAGCCCTCCCGCCTCCTGAGAAGTTTTCTATGTCTTCGGGGAAGGCTTCGAACGCTTCTCAGAAGACTGGATAATTTCAAACCTCTCTGAGAAGGCCCGCCCCTCCTCACTTCCCCCCTCGCTCGACTTCATCCAAGGACCGCTCAGACGTCCCGGACATCCTGGTCGTCTCAACGGCGAAAGCTCTTCCACGGTGAGCTCACCTGGAAAAACTTGCGATCACGAGATGCCAACGTCGCGACGACGTGGAAATCGATGTCTGGCACGGCGTCGATCGCTCTCAACCGTGAACGATCGCGGCTTCCCGACATCGACGATCGATCGATATCGGTCGACTTTGGAAAACTGGCGCCGTCCAGCCTTGAACGCCCGCGTCTGGTCGCCGCCGCTTCGGCGCCGCGCGAACTTACCGTATTCAGGTGACGGTGCAGGTCTGTGTCTCCTCCCTCCTCGACCTCGGTCTTCTTGGTTGGAATTGTCGTGTTCCTGGAGATCAGCACGGTGGCCACGCCGCCTAGAGTCTCCACGCCCAGCGACAAGGGGGTGACGTCCAGCAACACGATATCCTTGCCGTCCCCCTCCCTCCCTCCCTCTTCTCCGCCCCATTCCTTATCCCACGCCCCTCCTCCCTCGTGGTCCCAACACCTGCAGAGTATTGAAGACATATGGGAGGATTCTTGAGTGGAGATAGTTTCTGATCGGCGATAACCAAAGTTATCCGGTGGGAAGGACGGGGCTAAATAGTCAACAACCGAATCGTTTCACTTTGGGCACCCTCGGACCCCTTCGGACCTGCGAGACCGACAATGACAGGTTATCCGGGTGGAAAGGGGGGGGATGCGGGTGGGCCTGATAACCAAGATCATCGCTGGACTCGTTAAACAATATCTTATCATGATCGGCCGCAGGGGCCGTTCACAATTTCTGGGCCTGTCAAGGAGAGAAGCTCCAGGACGAATCGCCGATCGCTCGTGAGTGGTCAACAATCCTGGGAACCCGTGATGATTACAACCAAGCATAAACGTCGGGTTATCGTCTTCCTCCTCGTCCCCCTCCCTCAATTTCCTCGCCACCTCGCGCAAACTTGTCTCCACCATCGTCTCCCCACCACGTCGCCTCCTCGACATCATTTCACCTCCTCTCCTCCGCCCCCCCTCCACCCCACCCTGCAGCCTCTTCTTCTGCTTCGTCCTCATCCTCGTTTCCCCCCTCTCTTCCTCCTCTCTCCTCCCCTACCTCCTGTCCTGTCTCAGACATCCGCGCGAAACCCGAAGTCCCGACCCGTGATTTGAGGGCAATGTTGGTGGTAAGCTCCCCAACTTACGCCAACGGTTCCCTGTAGGGTCTTCGATGTGCTCAAGACGATCAATATATGTTGGTAAACTTCGGTTTTTGCAGGCCATCGCCAGGCCCTGGGACGGTTGACAAAAATTAATTACTCACGATGAGGGGCTGAGAAGCTCGTCCCTGGAACGTGGTCGAACATTCTGGGGGGTCACGTTGCAACAGAACTCACGATGACAAATGCTTTTGGCTCAGTGATTATTACAAACAACAAGATATTGTTACACTTTTGTCGTTTTGGTCGTCTGTTTCCAATTCCGGCGCCGTTTCTGTTCCGGTTCCGTAACCGTTTGTGTTCGGGCCCTGGCTCCGGCGAACAATTTTTAGTCTAGGTATCACCCTCTGGAAACGGTGACAAAAATATGGCCGTTTCCAATAATCAAGTTGTGCCCCTCGGACGGAAGAAGTAAGAACAAAAAAACATGGAGTAGGAAGGCGGACTCAGTAGATTGGGTTCAGGCCCGCCCAAATAATAACTCGAACCACGCTCGCGTTTCGCGCGCGGTTACGTTCTAGCCGGATCCGAAGACCGTATGAGCAGACACGGGAATGATTCCGCTGCGTTTTCCCAAATAACCGAACACCCCATAGCCCCCAACCGAACACCCGAACCCGAACACCGTATCACCCCAACGCCGTAACTTTAACCCCGACCCTTGAACTCTTACGCAAGAGCCCGTACACCCCAACTATAACGCAGAACGCCCTAGCCCTGACCCCCGACTCGTAACGATCTATGGGTGAGTGCGTGAGTGTATTTGCGCGGGCATATTCGTACGTGTGGACGTACACGCGTGCACACACACATATGTATATGTATGAATCTACAGTACCCATCGGTCGGAAGAAGTAGGTAGAAACATGAAGTAGGAAGGCGTTGGAAATAGATTGGGTTTCCGCCCGCCTCCTGAAGAGGAGGGAAGGGGAAAACCCACTCGACTCTTGAAGTAGGAAGGCGCTCAAAGTAGATTGGAATCTGGGAATCCAAAAATACCTACTTTCAACGACCGATGGGTAGAGGAGCGGAGGAATGCTGGCGTGAATCATGTGCCCCTGAGCGGCCATGGCGTCTCCCTGGGGGTCGCGAAGGCTGCCACGACGGCCGAGGAAGGCTATCAGAGCCTTCTGCCCCAAGAGGCCCCCAGCAGGCCACCTTGCCTTCTCGAGTACACGTCGGTCGGAAGAAGTGGGTAGAAACATGAAGTAGGAAGGCGGATAAAGTGGATTGGGTCCAGGCCCTCCCAGAGAACCACAAAACACAGCAAAATCATGCCGATTCTTGAAGTAGGAAGGCACTTGAAGTAGATTGGGACCTGGGAATCCAAAAATACGTACTTTCAACGACCGGCGTGTAATTGCCGCCCAGAATGCTGCGCTGGCACGGTGCCGGATTTGCTGGAGGCAGCTGGATGAAGTCACCGCTAGTTTCTCTGTGTGCCAGCGGCCTCGCGGGAGCGTGCGCAGTCTCTGATGGCAGAGAGAGGGTGGGGGAGAGACAAAGAACGAACGAGAGGAGAGAGAGGGAGAGAGAGAGAGAGACAAACAAGAAAGAGGGAGAGGGCAAGCTGTGTGCGCTCGTGCCATATCTGACATCCTGCCACTCCAAATCATCCCTTCTCATGACGCTGATGATTCTCCATCTGCGGACGCGTGTCATAGCAGGCCTGGAACTCACACAAAGACCCCACCGTGATATGAGCGATTGGAGCACTGAGCTGCGTACACAGGAGGAGGGGGACGAGGAGGAGGTGGCGGATGAGCAGGAGGATGAGCGGGAGGAAAAGGAGGAGGGAGGAGGAGGAGGAGGAGGAGGAGGAGGGAGGATGAGGACGAGGACAAACAGCAGCAGCCGGAACCGGAGTGGAAGGAGCGAGATGAGCAGGAGAGCCAGGGAAAGGCGGAGGACGGGAAAGGAGGGGGGCGGCAACAACGAAGGACTCGGACCCATCCGAGTGGTCCGTGCCGGGGTGAGAGCGCCATCCTGAACGACGGGAGCACAGCGCCGATCCTGGAATGAGGCCCCCGCTGTAGGGGCAGCACCACTTTGAGACACCGAAGCCTCTCTGACTCACAAAAACATCGGGAAGACCAACACCGCTGGCCCCGATCGCTGGGGGTGGGAGGGCGTGTGAGAGCATTGGCGGCTGCCTCTTCCCCTTGCCCTTAGGAGGCAGCTCTACTGGGAGGTCTTCGTCGGAGGGAGTAAACCGGATCAAGCCCTATTGGGGGGCTGTTACGCCAGAGCGGGCCTCGGATTCAGCTGGATTAAACGGGATGAGCCGGATTAAGCGGGATGAAGCGGGACTAAGCTGGTTTTCGGACCAGGGCAAAATCAGAATTTGACCTCCCAGGAGTTGCATATGGATTTCCCCCTCCCCCATTGCCCAAAATCTCGGCAAGGGGGGGATCCAGGCTCCTTGGGGTGGGTGTCTGGGCCCCCTGGCGCACCAATGGAGACTCTGGAACTTCCAAATCTGCCCTCTGTGGCCTCGAAGACGTTCCAAGACGGTCCAGAATCGCCGAACGATTGGCCCAAGACGCATAATTACGATGGCTCCAAGACGCCCCAAGACGCCTTCGAGACGCCCCAAGAGAGGCGCAAGATCCTTCCCAAGAGGACCCCAGAGGCGAAAATCAATGGTTCCCTTTGGGTTTTTTATGTTTCGAGGGTTCTTGTCTTCTGGAGCTTCGAGCTTCCGGCGCTCTAAGGCGGCCCAAGAGGCCCCGTAGACCGCCCCAAAACTGCCCAAGAGGCCCCTACGAGGGCCCCAGGACGGCCCAAGAGGGTTCCAAGACGACCTAAAGGGGGGCCCAAGACGGCCAAAGATCGCCCCGAGAACGCCCCAAGAGAGGCTAAAAGGGAGACTTCTGACCGAAAATCTGGCCAAGAGCCCCCCCCCGTCCCCGCCCCCAAAAAATCTCCAATAAGCCCCCAAGCGGTTGAAAAAAAATGCCCCCAAATGAGCCCGACAGAGGCCCAAGATAGACACCAAAACGGCCACCAAGGCGCTTCAAAACTACCTCCAAGAGGCTCCATCAGGCCCCCAAACAGCTCCCGAGACGCCCACAAGAGTCCCCAGATAGTACCCCAAGAAGCCCACGACGCCTCAACCATATACTCTCCGCCTCCTCTGGGGTTCGGCGGAATGGCGCAAGTCTCTTGAATAATTATCGTCGTCCTTGTGACTACGGACGGAGGCTCTCTTCCTGTCTGGTATCCGCTGATCCTTGCCGACGCTTGCAGGCTTGATTGAGGATGGCCGCCTCGGATTACAAGGGACGCTGGACAAAGGAGCGAGGCTCCCGCTCGCGACGCTCTCAGGAGTCCGGCTCCAGCGTTTCACCACGCCCGTGCTTTTACGGGAAATCCCGATGGCCGCCTCGGAATCAATGGCTCGGGCCGGGCGAAAGGGGGGGATCGCAAAGGGGGGGTTTGAGAATCAGCTCACGTAGCTGACTTCCCTGGCGCTTCCTGGCGCTGGAGGCGCCCCTGTATCGAGGAATGGGCCCGGCGGCGGGGCCGAAACCAGCTGCATGCAGCAGATGTCGTACCCCGTCCTTTCCCAATCCCCCCTCTCGTCCGGCCAAAATGGCATGCACACCAGGGAAAGGGGCTCCCCGCACGACACCTCTGAAGGGGCCCCATGACACAAATAAATACACACAACTAAAAATATTCCACACACTTTCCCATATTTCTTCGGGGTGTCTGTTTTCCCCCCCACACTTCCCATAGCTTCCCATATATTCCCTGGGGAACCGAGGATTCATTGTGCCTGTGTGTTCCTTCTCCTCCCGAACCTCCTCGCGATCCAGCCACGGACGAGCGCCCGAGACGCCCCCTCGTTGGGCGCCCCAACTATCCGGGGTAACCTCGGGCCCGGGGCAACTCGGGCTCCGGACTCCCGAAAAACCAACCCGAGGCAGCCCTCACCCGAGCTTCGCCCCGGATGACTCGGGGCTCTGAGCCCTCGCGCTCTGCTCGGGAGCGAGGCCTCCGCCCGAGGCCCCCTCTGTGTATGGGGTTGAAGTACAAGGGTACAGAACCCCTGATCCGCTGGTAGAGGGAAGGAGGGATAGATGGATGTCTTTCCCTCCTGCACGATCAAAGGTATGATCGATCCGTCCCAATACCTGAGCCCAAACGGCCAGGCGCAGGAGAGGTGAGGATAAGGAGTATATATGAGGGTATTACACGGGCTCTATTCACACCCTCGGGGCGCCGGCTCCCCCGGCAGCCCGACGCGGCCCGCCCCTCGCGGCTCGCCGGCACGAGCCGAGCGGGGGGAGGGAGGCGCGCCTCGGGCGGGGCGGGGCCCTCCCCCGCGCGGGGCTGCCTCCCGCGGCTCTCTCGCGCACGAGGCGCCCGCTCGGGGCGCCCACTCCCTTTTTTTTTTTCTCCGGTTTCGTGCGTGGCTTTTGCCGCCAGAGGATCCAGGATGCTCCCCGATGGTCCTCGCCGAGGAAAAAGAAGACGCACGCGTCCGAGCGATGCCAAGCGCACGAGGCTCCCGCTGGGGACGCCCTCGAGGCCTGCGCACGAGCAGGGCGCCCCAGCTCTGCACGTCCTCGGCCTTCGGGCTCCCAGGCTTGGTGGCGCGCAGCGAGGGGGCGGAGGGAGGGGGGAGGGCTTCTTATAGAAGGCGGCTGCTTCTCAGAAGGCGCCGGCCTCACATCTGTAGCTGAGGCCCGGGCCTCCTGAGAAGCAGGGGTGCTTCTAAGAAGCCCTCCCCCGTCAGCCCACCCCCCTTTGAAGGGGCCCCAGGACACACAAATAAATACACACAAATAAAAAGTACCCCCCATATTTTCCCATATTTTCTGGGTTTCTGTCTTCCCCCCCACTTCCCATATTTTCCCATATTTTCTGGGGAATCGACGATTAATTGTGTCTGTGTGCTTCTTTCCCTCCTGACCCTTCTGCGCGCGGCTGACAAGCGTCGCCAGGCCCGTGCTCTTTTGTGTCCAGGGTGTTCCGGCGGCAGGAGGAGGAAGAGGAGGGGGAGGAGGAGGAGGAGGAGGAGGAGGAGGAGAAGACGGAGGAGGAGGAGAGAGGAGGAGGAAAAAGAGGAGGACGAGGAGGAGGAGGAGAAGGAGGAGGAAAAGGAGGAGGAGAAGGAGGACGACGACGAGAAGGAGGAGGAGGCGCCTCGGGCGCGAGCGCGGAGGTGGGGCGCGCCGAGGGAGGGGCGCTCCCTGCTCGAGACTCTCCTGCGCGGGTCGCTCGCGGACGAGCGAGCGCCCGAGGCCTCCCCTCTCCACCTGCTCGGGAACGAGAGGCTCCCGCTCGAGAGATCTCCGCATTCAAGCTCCCTCCTCCCTCCTCCTCCTCCTCCTCCCTCCTCCCTCCTCCCTCCTCCTCCTCCCTCCTCCCTCCTCCTCCTCCTCCTCCTCCTCCTCCTCCTCCTCCTCCTCCTCCTCCTCCTCCTCCTCCTCCTCCTCCTCCTCCTCCACGTGTGCTGAGGAACGGTCCGATGGCCGCCTCGGATTCCAGCACGGAGGCGGGGTTCCCCAGGGGCAGGGCCTCCCGCTCGAGGCGTCCCCGCGATGCGCTCGCCTGGCCATCGCTCGGGCGTCCCTTCCCTGTGCTTTTTGTTTGGCTTCGTGCGCGGCATTTGTCGCAGGATGAGCCAGGATACTCCTCAACAATCCCCGCCGAGAACAAATGCCCACGTCCGAGCGATACCAAGTCGCAGACGAGTGGACGCCCGAGACATCCTCTCAATATTTGTTTGGGATTGAAGCTCCCGCTCGAGATCGTCTCGGAATTCTGGCTCCCGCGTGTCGGCAAACCTGCGATTTTAGGGGATGCTCCAATGGCCGCCTGGGATTGCGGACATGCGGTGGGGATCCGCAAAGAGGGACTCCCGCTCAAGGCTTCCTCACGACACTCTCACTGACGAGGCTCCCGCTCGAGACCGAGGCTCCCGAGTGCCACCAAACCTGCGTTCGTACAAGAATATCCCGACGTCTGCCTCGGATTGCCAATATGCTGCGGGGACTCTGTGGGGAGCTGCTCCCTCCCGCTCGAGACTTCCTCGCGATTGACTCACAGACGGGGTTCCCGCTCGAGGTTCCTCAAGATGAATGTGCGAGTGTGTGAGTGTGTGATGGCGTGGGTGTGTCCTTGTTCTTGCGCCAGGGATGTCCAGAGAAGAGCACCGAAGCATTTCGACGACCACAAGAACTCGTCAAACTAATCGACGACGAACAAGACGAACAAAACGATAACGACGGCGATCCCTTAATTTGTCAGGCCCGGCTGTCCTCGCCGTACCGGGCATTCCTTGAGATCTGGCGCAGCGAACAAATCCAACTCCGCGATCAATCCTCTCGATCTTCGAGCGTCGATCCTCAATACTCGATTCTCGGGACCTTGCGGCAACGACGAGCAAAGCAAAGACGGTCCTTCACCTCGCCAGCAAGCACGCCTGCCTGCACCGCAGCGCCGATTGCCACGACCTCGTCCGGGTTCACGCTCTGGTTGGGCTTTTTGCCTCTCAGGAGGTAGTCGTCGTCGTCGTCGTCACCCCATTATCTCCACCATTGTGACTGTTGCTGAATCCTGACGGGGTATCTCGATTTCGTCCTCTGAGGCTCTTTAACGACACCAGGGACTATCAACAAGGGATCTGGGGCGATAGTCTACACCCAGACAAGGGGACGGGACCTCTGGGGCTGCGCACTGAACATATTATATCTTCGGGTGCTTGGGCCTGGGTGTCGCCGACGTCGTCGTCGTCGTCGTCGAGGTCTGGAAAGGATCTTCACGACTGGAAAGGACCGTGTTTGGACCCGGAGGCCCGCAGAAATCGACCCAGGACGACGTCTTAGGTCGTCGTCGATGCCATCGCTGGCGACGGGGAGGATGCAGGGAGGGGGAAGATCGAGGACCCCAAAGACGAGGTCCGAGGGCCACGGCATTGGCCTCTGGAAGGACTCATCGCCACCACGACTGGATCCCGACCTGGTTTCTGGCTAGATCGCATCCCAGAAGAGTTCCAGGCTGCGAGGATCGAGGATCGAACTTCGCGGATCGACGCGTGTTTGACGTTCTTCGCTCTTCCTGGTTCTCCACGAGGCTCCTCGCAGCTACGGCTGGGTCTGCTCCCAAATGCTGAACGGTTGAACGGAACACACCCTAAGAGGGCTCGACCGGGGCCACGTCCCCCAAGTTGCAAGTCCTCCAAGGTCTTGAAAGAGATCTGCATTAAGGACTGCGCCATTTCCGGACTCTGGGGGCTCGTTCAAACCACTGCGCCGTCCATGCCCGTGTGGGAGTGGGTGGGGGGGGGACGGGCGGGCGAAGAAGAAGAGGAGGATGCGCGGGAGGAGGAGGAGGATGTGCGGGAGGAGGAAGTGCGCTAGTGACTCAGCGGCGTGCCGCTGCAGCTGACTCACCTGCTCGCCCCTCCGCGGCGGTGCCGAACTCAGCTCAGCTCCTCCTTTCCTCCTGCCCCTCCTCCTGCACCTGCTCCCGCCCCTCCTGCTCGCTCGCTCGCTCGCAACTCTAGGCAGAGGAGTTCGCAGCCTATGTCCTCTCCTCCTCCTTATCCCCTGCTCCCGCCCCTCCCCGTCCTCTTCCCAATCCCACACCATCCTTCAGCCAGCTTGTCTTTCCACACCGATGTTTCCTCCTCGTGTTGATCCTCATTGCCCTCTTGCCAGCCCTCCTCCTCCTCCTCCTCCTCCACCTCGTCCTTCTCCTCTTCCTCCTCCTACTCCTCCTTCTTCTCCTCCTCCTCCTCATTTCCCACCTCACCCACTGCCAGGGTAGAGGCGAGGAAGAGACGGCGCCCCCTTTGATCTCGAGGCAGGCGTTAATCCTCGACTCTTGCCCCCAAAGGCAAACAGACCGTCAAACATCGACCCGGGATGTAAAAAAGCAGCCAGAATAAATGAACCGGTCACGACGGCGATGACGACGACGACGATCACAACGATCGCGACGACGAGGGCGAGTAAACGGGGGCGAGGAGAACAGGGACAACGATTATTCCCGGCGAAAAAAATAAACGGAGGGGCAACATTCAAGACCCTCTGCCAGCGGTGTTCTTGGATGTACCCGGGATGGTTCAGGTTGGGATCAGACAAGAGGGCTGGTCTAGCGGGCCAGTGAGATCCGTGCGCCACTGGGGAGGGGAAATCCTGCATAATGCCAAATAGCGAAACCAAGCCTGTCAACACTTTACATTACATTCTCATAGAAACATGCATTTCGCACGAACCCCTCGCGCCAATGCCATCACACTCGCACCCAAATGAATGCGAGCAACCCGCCCTCCCCGGACTCCGACCCGCAACTCCAAAATTCGAGTGCGCAACGCATCCGTTGAATTACTATGCCGCCGTGGTCAAGGCCCCGTCCCTGCAGGCGACGCGCGCGGTCTTCCCTGCGGGGCGCGGGGCGTTGAAGACCACTCGGCCGAGGCGCCCGTGCCCCGCTTCGGGAACCGATCTGGAAGGCCACTTGGCCCTTGGCGCACTGGGTCTGCTGGGCCCACCAAGTCCCGCGAGGCGGCCTGACAATCCGCGCGCAGCTGCGCTTCTGGGCCGCGGCGCAGCGAGGAAACTGCGCTGTCGGAGCTTGGCCAGTCTGCTCCTGGGCCAGGCCCGCCAGGGCAACGGACCACTTGCCCAACAGCCCACTTGACAGCTGTGCCCTTCTGCCCCCCTGCCACCCCCCCCCCCCGCACCTGTGAGTAGGGCGCCGCCTGGCAAGTGGCCCCCTGCCTCGGCGTGGACCCGTGAAACCCGCGCCGGCTGGGCCAGTGGCGCATCGGGCCGCTAGGCCACGTGGCTGCTGGAGCATTTCCAGAAGTGGACCCTGGGCCACATTTCTGCTGTAGGACCCCTTGCCAGAATCTGCCACAGAGCATCAGACCCACCTCTCGCCGCTCCAGTGCGCTAGGAATCAGGAACACGCGGCGCAGCGTGCCATTCTGCCGCTGGACTGGCGGGAGCCGCGCCACTGGGCAATCGCGCCACGGCACCAGCGGAGGGGGGCGCTCTTCTGACCGAGAACCGTGGTTTGGGCCGTTGGCCTCTTCTGACTGATAACCGCGCGATGCATGATGCGCTGCCATGGTGGCCGCTGGGCAAAGCGACGGCCGCTGCTTCTACATAACTTGATTAGTCTGCGACTGTCTCGCAGAACATCCTCGCGCGACCATCCTGACCCATCGTCGTAATCATCCGCTTTCTCTGCCGCCTCGCGTGCACCCCATCCATCCACAATCTCGCCTGGGGGGTCAAGGCGGAAAACGGGCGGACTATGGCAGAACGGCACGCGCGTCAAGACGCGCCCAGAGCAACGCGCAAGACAGGCGCACAAAGTGGGGAGTTGCGTGGTCTCGGGCGTTGCCAGCATTAACACGTTGGCGCTGCCATAAACCAACACGATGGCTCAGGCAGACCAATTGCGTTGAATCTGCGCTGACCTTCGCAAAGCCATCACGTCGGGCACCGTGTGGGAAGACAAGGATTTAGACTCTGTGGTGTTTCTCAGCTTCTGTGGGGTCTCTGGGAGCCTCCTCGTCGCACGGCGAGCTCCCCCTTCCAGAATCGACGCAAAACGCACCCCAGGAGTGGTCCAGAGGGAAGATCTTTGAGGGATGGGGTGGGCCCAGACAGTAGGTCGGACCTGTCGTCCAACAGGCGGATGTCGGACGAGAGAAACTGACAAAACATGTGCAACAAGTGCCGAACATCGTAGAACATCGCTCCCATTGTACTTCTGTCATTTTTGAAAACATTCCCCCTGTAGAAGGAATCGAACTCTGTACACCGACGCTTTTTCCGGCCCTGCATTGAAATTTACACTGGAGAGCGGATCCTGGTGTATACAGGACTCTGGTGTATACATGTTTTGTTCTTTCCCCCAGGAAACCAAGGGAAAAACGTATACACCACACCACCACGACGTCGTCCCCGACCCTCAAAAAGCCCTGGGATTGAAAAGCAGCCCGCCATTGGCAATGTACATGTTCCAATTTCCGAACATGCCCGACATGTGGGGAGGTGGTCCCAAACCCCCTCGCGCCATGCAGAGAGGACGACGGCGTGGTTCTGGCCTCTTGGGGCACTTGCGTGGGCAGGGGACAAACAAAATACGGTTCAGGACGAGAAACCAGGAGGCCTCGAAGATGCGTCGTAGAGGACCCTCAAGAAGCCCACGCAATGCCTCCAAGCTGCTTGCAAACCACTCACGTTTGAACAAGCGCGCTGGGGCGAAAGCGTCCTTCTGACAGCGGGATCGTCCCAGATCGGCGGCACTGGCCGGAGGCCTCTACAATACGGCTCAGGACGAGAAACCGGTCACGGGGAAGTGGTCGGGACTTCTGGGGGCCTGGCATTGAGGAGGGAGGGACCTCGATATTCAGTGACGGACGCCTGGGGAAGCACTCGGGCGCACGTAGCTCCGAGAGTCGAGGGGGAGGGGGGAGAGGAGGGGGCAAATAAGGCGGAGGATGTGACGAGGGCTGGGGGAGGAGGGGGAGGAGGGGGAGAAGGAGGAGATGGGGCAAGAGTAGGAAACAGAGGATTCGGAAGATCTGCATGTAAAAAAAGCCAACACGGCTAAAAAGAGCGAGATATCACGAAACCAGCTGCTCAACCCGAGCAACATATTATCGCATAGAAGCGGAGGCCACCGTGATCAGTGACACGATCACACGACCACTGACGGCTGCATGCGCAAGACCCCCAGACTTTCAACTATGGTTTCTTGTCCAACGCACTGCCCCAATAATTTTGAGCCCCTTCCCCGGGGGTGTTTTTTCGTCCCAGACCATTTCTGGTTGTCCCGGAACCCGCTAACGGGCCTCAGAGGCCGAAATCGAGGAAAACCGCCAGGATTGAACAACATGATGTCGTCGGAGATGTGGGGCTGCGTGCGCGAGCCCTGCATCGACACGAAGTCCAGAAGAATCCATGGAGCGTTATTGCTGGTCCTCCACCGTCGGTGGCAAATCGCGGAGGCCTCCCATGCCACCTTGCTGGCTGTTGCGAATCGACGGTGATCGATGTGAAAGAAACGCTCATCGATGTCAACACTAAATCGACGCTATCCAATCGATTATCTTATGCGAACCGACGATGATGCATTCTACAGACGGGATTACGAGGGTACAGAAAGGCTCCAATGAGGTGCTGCCGAGACACATGACATATGGCGTTCCTCCTCCTCCACCAGGGGAGGCAAGAGCTCTGCTCGGGGTCCTCGCCTCCCGCCATGTCGGTGGCGATGGTCTGGACAGCCGGGATGCGCGTCGAGCCGCCAACCAGCACGATCTCGTTGATGTCCGAGGCCGAGAGTTTCGCGTCCTTCAACCCCAGATTTGGACGCCCGAAAGGTGTACGGAATAAATTGGCACAAGGCCCAACAAGAAATGTCATCCCAAACCAACAGCGGCCGCTGTTGGGCAGGCGGCCTTCTGTCTCGAATGGACACAGGCCGCGGCAGCGTAGACAGCGAGCCCTGTTCAAACTGAACAAGAACTGCTGTTGGACATTCTACCCCATTCTTTCCCTACCCATTTCGTCCGTGCCGGCCAGAGATCCGGCGGCTCGAAAAGATCGGTCCCGGCCGCTTCACTCCCCGTCGCTCGGACGTCCATTCCCTGCTCTTTGTTCGGTATCGTGCGTGGCTTTGTCGCAGGATGATCCAGGATGCTGCTCAATAATCCCCGCCGAGAGAAAGTGCACACGTCCGAGCGATACCAAGTTCATGCGGGATCGATGAGCGGGGGGGGGCGAAAGAACGCGCGCCTTCCGTACCCCGCTTGGGCCCCAGGGGGCCGGGCATCTGCCTGCGGTGCGCGAGCAGCGCACGCCTCTGCGCCCCCCCATTGATCTGAAGGGACCCTGGGACACACAAATAAATACACACCAATAAAAGGATTCCCCATATTTTCCCATGTCTTCTGGGTTTTTGTCTTCCCCCCCACATTTCCCATATTCTCCAATATTGTCTGGGGAATCGACGATTCATTGTGTCCGTGATTTTTTTCCCCTCCTGAATCTGGGCGCTGCTTCGTGGGGGAGCGATGAGGGGGGGGGGGGCGAAGAAACGTGCGCCTTCCGTACCCCGTTTGGGCCCCCAGGGGGCCCGCCCCCTCAGGGCGCCTGCCTGAGGTGCACGCGCGGTGCACGCCTCTGCGCTCCCACATTTTTATCTGAAGGGACCTTGGGACACACAACTGAATCGACACAAACAAAAAGGGTCCTCAATATTTCTAATAATAATTTGGGCTGTTGTCTTCCCTCCCACTTGGGGAAATCGACGATTAATTGTGTCTGTGTGTTTGTCCCCTCCTGAGTCTCGCCCACCCCCACTTCGGACGGACCTGGGACAACAGAAACGTCCCTCAAGAACGCGAGGCCTGGAGCCTGCCAGACTGGAGCACATTCGAGGGTTCACCCACCCACAAGGTGCACAAGAACACCCACCAGGCACGAAGAAGACGAGGGCGTCCTCACTGGGCCGACCTCGATCTTATACCTCGATCAGACCGCGAGGTGCATCAAAGGTGCACGTTTTCGCCCACCCCACACATCGCCCGCCCCCAGGGCGCCACGCCCGGCACATCGAACAATTCGGAGCGCTGGATGTCTGGGCACGTGGGAGGCGCGGGCGCCGGCTACCACGATTGGGAAGACGCCCTTTTTCCCCGACAGCAGGCACGACCTCATCCTCGAGTGCTCCAACTTTCGTAATAAAAGAAAGGGTTACAACATTTCCAGACTGTCACGACCGAACTATCTTGCGAGCTGTGTATCTTGCGGTACAGTCAACCCGCATAAAACGGGACGAACGATCAGGATGCAAGGGCCTTGGAAGGCCAGATCGACGCTTGCGTGCGGGGCGCGGCAAGCGAAAGCGGCCGACGATAGGCCGCAGGAAAAGGACGCAAGGGAAACTTTGGAAATGTGTTCATTTCTTTGATGCGGGTGGACTGTATCACTGTCAACAGTTCTACCAATCCTAATAGAGATTGGTCTCACTGTGAGTCTGCCGATCTCATTTTCAACCGGCCATCCGGACGCATTCGGCCTCACCGTTGGTAGGCGGACTTGACGGTCAAGGAACCTCCCGAGCAACCTCCCGAAACGGCTATATATATGTATGTATGTATCGCACGGGAGTTCACACACACATATATATATATATGTGTACACCGACACACACATACATATACGTACACATGTACACACATATATGCATATGTAAACATACGTATATCTGTATATATATACATACATACATACACACATATATCTTTGTTTATACATATGTATAGATATAACATATGTATACATATACACGTAGATCCGCCAGCCACCAGGCTGCAGGACGAAGAGTTGCTGCTCCCTGCACCAGTGGCAGTTTCAAGTCTCCAGTGTTACAATCCTGATTTCTGCTACTACTGTAAATTGTTGAAGTCCGCGCGAGGCGGAGCCCAAAACCACCCCGTTACCACGCCCGGCTCGCGTTCTCTGAATTCATGGGGGGGGCGTTGGACACGTAAACATGCTTGGGATTCGCGCCCCCTGAGGCCGTGATCCCTCGTAGATCACGCAATATGTGCATCCCCGAGGCCACAAGCCGTCGTAAATGATACGAGCTGTTGCGTCCTCGAGGCAACAAGCACTCATACATTACCCTATCTTCGCGTCACCGAGGCAACAAAAACGCGCGAATGCTGCAATACTCGCGTCCCCGAACCCTTACATCTTGGCAAAGTACTCCATGTTCGCAATGCCGAGGCCAAGAGTGCTCTAAGGCGCCCGAAGATGGTTCCAAGACGGCCCAAGAGGGCCAAAGGAAGCCCCAAGAGCGCTCCGCGAGGCCTCCCGAGAAAACCCCAAGAGGACAAAATCATGGATACTACGAAGGTTTCTGACGGATGTTGGTTTTCTCGCATGTTCGGCTTTCAGACGCTCCAAGACGGCTCAAGAAGCTCCCCAAACCGCCCCAAGACAGCCAAAGACGCCTCCAAGAGGGCCCCAATACGGCCCAAGAGGGTTCCAAGATGGCCCTAGAAGCGCTCAAGACGGCCCAAGAGGGCCCCAAGACGGCCCCAAGAGGGACCCAAGCAGGGGACCACGAACCGAACATTCGATATGTGTGCCCCGGAAGCTCCCAGGAGGCCCCAAGAGGCCGCCAAGAGACCCCAAGAGGCGCCCCAGACGCGACCAAGAAGGCATCCAAGAGGCCCAAAAGATACCCCACGAGGGCCCAAGAGACCCCCAAGAGGCGCCCAAACCGCCTCGAAGAGGCCCCCGAGAGGCTCCCATCGACACCCATATACAAGAGGCCTCAGACCTCAGACCCACAACCCAGGGTGGCGTGATGGGCCGAATGCCACTAGGATAACGCCAACGTCTCAATATGCGCTGGTGATTCCCATCCGCCCCCGCATGATGTTCCCATATGCGCCAAGGCAGCGCCGAGACGCACCGCCGCAACTCTGACAAATCTTATAATGATTTAGAGAGGGGGGCCGCGGCAGGGGGCGAGGCCCTTACGGATACATATATACAAGTGGCACGTGTGTGCCCAGGCCCATACAAAAAACTGAAGGGGCGTTTGAAGCAGGAGTGAAATGCAACATCGAAGTCGCACTCGAGCGCAAGTGGGGTTGCCACACCTTGCGATGTGTGTACCAGGACCCCCCAGGAAGCCTCAGGAGGCACTTGGATACCAGAAGAGGCTCCAGGAGGCCCCAGGATTGTGAGTGTTGTGCGTGTGTGTGTGTGTGATGTATGCTTTGTGTGGTGCGTGCTTTTTGTGTGTTGTAGGTGTTGTGTGTGTGTTATGTTTGTCTAGCGTGTGATGTGTTGGGCGTGATTTGTGTCTCTGTGTGCATGTAGTCCCACCAGCCCTTTGGGCGTGAGTGGTTTAGAGAGCCCGCTCTGTTCTCAACCCCCCTTCTTCCCCTTCTGGGAGGGGTTTACCCCTCCCCCTACCCCCTCCCCCTGGGCCTGGAGAGGTCCTTCCGCGGGTCGTCAGGGGGGTCATTTTCGACTCCTGGGAGGGCTAAAAAACGACACCCCTCACGAGGATTCTGGCCCCGAGGGGGGGGAGGCAGAAAAAAAACATCTCCTCTTCTTTGAAGCTAAAATCATTGATTTTACTCCGGTTTTGGCACCGTTTTGGCCTTCTCAGGGGGCAGCGCTCGTTAAAGCTTCCTTCTTCCTTCAAGGCAAAATCATTGATTTTACAAAGGTTTTGGGCTCATTTTGCCCTTCTGAGGGGGCAGCGCTCATTAAAGCTCCCCTCTTCTTTGATCGATTCCCTCCAAGATGGCCCCAAGAAGCGCCCAGGAGGCACCAAGAGGCCCCAAGATGGCCCCAAGAGGCCCCCAGGAGGCCCCCAAGAGGCCTCCAAGAGGCCCCCAAGATGCCCCCAAGAGGCCCCCAAGAGGCCCCAAGAGGCTCCCCCGAGGCACCCAAGACGCTCCTGGAAGCCCCTGGGGCCGCCAAGAGGCCCCCAAGACGCCCCAAACGGCCTCCAAGAGGCTCCCAAGAGGCCCGAAGAGGCTCCCCCAAGGCACCCAAGACGCTCCTAGAAGCCCCTGGGGCCGCCAAGAGGCCCCCAAGACGCCCCAAAAGGGGACGAGGTGCCCGAACGCCTCACGCCACGAGGAGCCCGAACGACTCACACCAGGACGAGGGGCCCGAACGACTCACACCACGAAGAGCCCGAACGACTCACACCAGAAGGAGGGGCCCGAACGACTCACACCAGGACGAGGCGCCCGAACGACTCACACCACGAGGAGCCCGAACGACTCACACCACGAGAACGACTCACACCACGAGAGCCCGAACTCACACCAGGAAGAAGGGCCCGAACGACTCACACCAGGACGAGAAACCCCAAACGACGCAAACCACGAGGAGCGCCTTCTCCCGCTCCCACCACAAGGAGGATGTACAAGGAGGCGGGAGGAAGGAGGAACAGGGGAGATATGCGGGGGCAGGCGGAAACACGCCTGAAAAACACGACTGTCGGCATGCTTCGCAAGAGTTGCTGTTTTGAGATGGGCTGGTGGGGATACGCGAAGCGTAAAGAATTCTGAAGCCCCAGAAGGCCCCAGGAAGCCCCAGGCGGCCTCAGGAGGCCCCAGGAGACCCAGGAGGCTTCAGGAGGCCCCAAGAGGCTCCAGGAGGCCGCAGGAGGCCCCAGGAGGTTTCAGGAGACCCCCAGGAGGCTCCGAGGCGGGGTCTGGGGTGCCAGAAGGTTCAGAAAGCCCCAGGGGGCCCCAGGAGGTTCCAGGAGGCCCCCAGGAGGCTCCGAGGCGGGGTCTGGGGCTCGATTTTGGAAGGATTTTTCAAGCGAAACCGCCATTCCCTGAGAATCGGGGTCACAATTATTGAACTTACCATTTGTTTTTCAAGGTTGTATGCTAAAATGTTGACATTCCCATATGTTTTTGGAGGGGTGCCACCAATTTTCAGAATTTCGAGGATGTCCCGAGCGAAACGCCCAGAAAAATCGCGGACGCGTGCGCATTAATCGCCTCTGAGCTCTACTCCCTCGGAGAGGTGCGTATGAGAATATACATATATATACATATATGTATATATATACATTTAGACAAACCATACAGATATACATACATATATGTAAACATCAAAAGACACGTGTATATATATGGCACAGCCAGTATACATGGCGATGTCACTGACTATAGATCGGGCTCACCATCCAGACCACCGTGGGGGCAATCATCGGGACAACAATCGGGATAATCATCGGAACAGCCATCTGGCCAAATATTGGGACAACCATTTGGACAACCATCGAGACAATCATCTGTTTCAACCGGTCCAACCACCAAACTGGGTGTGGACCTCTATCTGCCGATCTCTCTATCGATCGATCGCTAACATTGCCGATATAATGATCTAGCCGACGTACTGGCAATCTACAGAGCCCAACATCAACACAGCCGTCGATCGCAATACTAATCGGTGTCAAATTTTGCCTACCGATGTCAGTATCAACCATTATTTACATGTGTATGTCTACATATACACACAGCTCGAACTCACGACCCATCAATCCAGGACAGGCATCGGAAAACATAGGGACAACGATCGGGAACATCATCGGGACAATGACCGGGGCAACAATCGAGACAACAACCTGGACGACCATCGGGACAGCTATCGGGAAAACCTTCGGAGACAACCCTCGGGATAACCGGCGACAACCATCGGGACAACCCTCGGGACAAGCATCGGGATACTCGGCAAGACAACCACCACAAGGAGCCATTGACACGACCCGGGTGAGCGATTTGTTGCTCAAGTTCGCATCGCCTCGCTCACACGCGCGTCACGCGCGAAGCGAAGCGACTTCCCGATTGGGATTGGGGCACCTTACATTTCAATTCAGTCTCACCCTGCCAAACATCCGAACGAGCATGGTAGACTACACAAGGTGAGCAACGAAAGGACACGTCTGAGGCTCGATCGGCACGCGACGTCCAAAGCCGTAAGGACAGGGAGGGGGAAGGGATGGGGGCAAAGCGAAGCAGGAGGAAGACGCGGCTGGAGATGACGACCAGATGGATGTGGAGGACGAGAAGGGCAAGATCTGTGAGACACAAGTCGACTGCGTGGGTCCGCTCCGCCATTGGGCTGCGGGGGTGCGTGCTGGCCCGCACTGGTGCTCCCGTCCCACAATTGCAGCTGAGGCATCTTCCTTGATCGGGGATGGACAGACCTCCCTTTAGCAAAACGTGGTTCAGTGAAAACGACCTGAGGCCCAAACCTGGCGGGCGCAAGCCTGGAAAATAACAGCCACGGCGCTCTCTCGAGAACCGAAAACGGACAATTCACTAATCGACGTGTCACTGTTGGGGGTTCTGTCCACCCCCGACTTGAAACAAGCCATACCAGCCCTCTGGGCGTAGATGTTTGTGGTCCAGTCCCAACGGCTTGCCTCGACTTCGACCCCTGAGGCCCGTTGCCGGGCCCCTCGGCCATCAGAAATCGACCAGGGACGCAAAACCGAACCCTGGGGAAAGGGTCGGGGCCTCCGGCGGGGACCTCCGGCGGGGCCCCACTGTGGGATATTTGGTATTCCTAGCAGCCCGCTGGGCCTCGGTGGCAACGCGGGCCAGCAACTCCAGATCAACTCTTCCATCCACTTAGGGTCTCTCGCTGCTCCAGGGAGATGAGCACAACCTCTGCGAGCTGCGATAGCGGTATGATGTGGGGGATGCCCGCGGGGTGGGCGAGGGACAAGATATGGGAGGACCAAGAGGATGTAGGATCCGATGGATATCTGGAGGATACGCGGAAGGTCAGGACATGAATGCGGAGGATCATGGGATTGGATGTCTGGATTGTGGGTCATACTCTCGGGCCTCTGGGGGCCGATCTCGGGTGTTGTCAGAAGTGGTTCTGACCCAAAGGTGTCCCCAGCGTTTCGTACCAGTTTGAAGTCCCTGGAACTCCCTGGGCCTCGTGACGTGTGCTGTGGAGGCCATCTGGGCTTCCCCAGGAGTCCTGGAGTCCTGGAGACCCACTGGGCCAGGGATACCTCTGGCAGCACCCGGCGATCGGGACGATTCGGGCAAGCCCGGAATGCCCTCGACGAAGCGCGAGAACCCACAAGAACCAGAGAGGCACAGAGAAACCCTCGAATCGGGACGAAGAGGAGGACGACTGATCAGGAGGCGATCTTCGTGTCCTTCAGGGCGTTCTCGCACGGCCCCTTGCAGCGGTTGATCAGGCTGGCCGCGATCTGCTCAAACTTGGCCCTCGACAGCGTCTCCTATGGAAGAGCAGAGAGGCGGCGCATCCGGCGATCCGGCGTGCGTGCGACTTGAAAGGGGCCCGAGTTTCAGCTCAGCTTTGCTGCTGGGGGTCGTGGGGCGGCGGAGGGGTGGGGGGGGGGCGTTTACTAAATCCCCCCTGGGGGACCCTTTTTGTCATTGGTTTGCCCATCCCGAATAACAGCGTTCGGTCTTTACTATCGAGCCCCCCCAACGACGGCGACGACGGCGGCGACGACGACTAAGAGTGCGATTGCGACTACGTTGACGGCTACGATCGCAACCACGATTACGATCACAACCACGACTACCATTACGACTGCAATCATATTACAATCATTATTGCATCCACGATTACATTCACGACAATCACGACTACAACCACAACCAATGGTTCCAATTGCAATCCTCCTGAGAAGATGCTCACAAATCCTCTCGCTCACAATCTTCCGTGGGGGAAGAACACAACATCGTCCAGCCCGCCCAATAAGAGAGGATGACAATGTCCGCCACGACGACCCCGACTACGATTGCGACTACAATCGCGACTAAGACTGCGACTATAATCAAAAAACTACAATCACGATTACAATCACGATTGCAACCGCGACTACAACCACAACCGCTGCTTCCCATTGCAATTCTCATGAGAAGATGCTCACTAATCCTTTTCGCGTGTAGGGTGACCCCCAATGGGTTATTCCCTGGAAACGAAAACCAATAGCGAGCCCGCCCAACAATAGAAGAAACTAAATATCTCCACCAAGACGACGACGACGACGACAACGACTAAAATAACGAGCACGAGAAGGAGCTGGAGGAGGACGAGGAGAAAGAGGAGGAGGAGGACGAGGAGGGGGGAGAAGGAGGAAGAGGGAGGAGGAGGAGGAGGGAGGAGGGGGAGAAGGGTGGGAGGGTGAGTAGGAGGAGGAGGAGGAGGAGGAGGAGGAAGAGGAGAAGGAGGAATAAGAGGAGGATGAGGAGGGGCGAGGCTGCTTCCCACCGAAAGACAGGGATGGGACCAGAACGAAAAACCTCCTCAGGTTCTGTGGGGGGCCCCCAAGGACCCTCCCTGATCTGGCCGGGACCCCCCCCCCCTGGGGACCCACCCGTGGGACACGCCTCCCCCTGGGGACCTTCCTGGGAGCGACCCCCACGTGGACGTCCCACGGGGCGGCGCTGGCCAGGGCCAATCAAACACGAAGCAACTGCTGGAGGTATTGGCGGAGCTCAGAGGCCAGCGCTGGCCCTCCCTCCGGGGCGCTGCAAACGAACCGTGACTGCCGTCTCGTCGTCGCCTTCGGCCCCCGGGAACGGCTCCCCTGCCCCGAGGCCGTCAAAGCGCTGCTCAGGCTGAGAGGTGGCCGAAGCCACGAGCGCCGACGCCGCGAGCAGGACTGCTCACGTCGGAGGAGGGCGCACCTCGCGAGGCGCGCTGGAGGGCCGCGCCGGATGCGTCGGCAGAGGCGCGCCCGAGGTGGCTGCCAAAGGACGCGGAGGGAGGGGAGAAACCACTGCGACACCATGAGATCGGAAAAATGTTTTTTCTTTCGCGCGCCTCGCCCTCGCTGGATGATTGGGGCCACTCAGAGGCGTTAGAGCACCCATGCGCACGCCTGAGCCGCCCGCATCAGAGGATGCAGTGGAGGCCCGTGCACAAGAAGCCTGCCACAAGAAACCCAACCCTGAGACCCCAGCACGCCCATGTGTTTTTGTGGTGTGGGACATGCTTTCCATCGCAAGACCCTCGAAACCCATGAAACCCAGGGGCCCCTGGAGGCAAGCAGGGTGTTCCTTGGCATGGGTCCGAGCTGTACGGGACAGAGAGAGCGGCACCATCTGCCTTCGGGAGCCTGTCGGAGGGAGGGGAGCGGTTGAGACCCCCCCGAAGTGGGGCCACAGCGGGTGGGGTCGGTGGATCGCGCTGCGTCACCGGTGCATCGGCGATGCATCGCCGGCGGCGGCGGGAGGAGGCGACCGTGCTCCAGGTCTCGCCAGGTCGCCGATGCACCGGCGACGCGCAGCGATCCCCTGGCCCCATCTGCTCGCCACAGCTGGGAGGCCTGGGGAGGGGAGGGGGGCTCAAGTGCGGGACGGGGCTGGCCAGAAGGGACCGGGGGAGGACCAGCTAATCAACAGCGAGCCCGTTCCAACGAGGGCAGGAGCTGCACTTGGACTCTGCCTCCGCTCTCTGCGCCCCGACTCCTGTCCTCCAGGACCGATCACCAAGGGCTGACCTCTGTTACCCGTGCCCCGATCCTCGATGTGCTTCGGGCCGGTCGCGTCCGCGGTGATGAACGGCAGCGAGATCTTGGCCTCCTGCACCCCAGACAGCTCAACCTTGGCCTTCTCGGCCGCCTCGGTCAGGCGCTGCAGGGCCTGCTTGTCCTTCAGAAGGTCGATGCCCTCGAAGGAAGACGCCCACTGCCATCGCTGTGTTCGAAGTTCGAGGACCGAGATTCGTTGACGCTCTCAGGCTTTCTTTCGGGCTTCCACGAAGCTAATCGTCGGCGGTGGTGGATTTCCTTTTGTAAGGTTCTGCGGGTAGAAGAATACCTCCGGACAGGTCTGGCGGTCGATCTTGGACCCCAGACCCGGGCCCCCTTGGACAGTGGGAAAGTCACCATGTAGAGTCGAAACACGGCCACAAGAACGGGGGTCCATAATGAGAGCCCCTTCGCCCAATATCCGACTTCCCGTAAGATATCCGATAGGAGCCTTCCAGGGTGAAGGGCACAGGCAGGAAGGACACAAGCCGACCCCCCAAACCTAGAGTTGGCTTCAAACATCGCGCCAGCTGCACACCTACGTGACTACACCGATCCTAGTCAGGTCCATCCTGGACACAGGATCGAGATGTGTTGTGTACCCTCATGGCTCGACCAGGAAAATACACGCATACACCAACCATGAGCCGGTGCAGGCCTGACCAGGGCAAGTCAGGTCTGGCCGTATAGTTTGCATTATGCGACCTCATTCTTCTTGAAGCCGTCGGCCAGCCAGTCGACGATCACCTTGTCGAAGTCGTCTCCTCCCAGGTGCTGGCAGGTGGACACCCTGCTCGTCCTCCTCCTTTCTTGAAATCAGCCCTTGGACCACTGAACGCAACGGGCTCCGACGTGGATTTCGGAGCGGAACAAGCCGTGGGAACGAAGGCTCCCAATAATGCCCCAAACACATCTACCAAAAAGAGTGAGTCATGCTCCCTCCCTCCCCCCTCCCTCTCTCCCTCCCTCCCTCTCTCCTTCCCTCCCTCTCTCTTTCCCTCCCTCCGTCCTCCCTCCCTCCCTCTCCAGACATACAAAAAGGTGTTTCCTATTTGGGTCCTACAGAAGTCTAGACCCTGTCGCAGGGCCAACTTTCCAGCATGACTCGTTGTCTGACTGCCCCGGAGCCCGAAACCGGCCTGGGGAGGCAGAAAAATGTGAGACATCTCCGTCCTGACTGGTGCGCAAGACGTGGAATGTCTGGCTTTGCAATCATAATTCGGAACTCTGGCGGCCTTCGGGACGATGCGGGCGCACCTCCCGAGCGATCTCGACGATGCGCCGCTGCTGGAAAAACCTCCGATGCTGGAAAGGCTGCGGGAACAACTGTGTCCGACAACCCTCACGGGAAAGGCCACAGAAACGAAAACGTCTGAACACCCCGTCGTCGCGTACACCTCGTCCTCGTTATCGCCGTCGTCCTCGTCGTAGCGTCACCCTCCTCCTCCTCCTCCTCCTCCTCCTCCTCGTCATCGTCGTTGTCCTCGTCGTCCTCCTCGTCGCGAACCTCTGACCGCGTCGTCGCGTCACCCTCCTCCTCCTCCTGAGACCCCGAGGCTCTGACGGCAAGAACGTCGTCCGACGTAGCCTTCTTCCCCCCTCCAGGGCCCGTCGGCCCTGGGGGGAACTCTTGGCGAAGGTCATCGCCTGCTGGGCGGAGATACAGTGGACACATATACACATATATATATATACACATATATACATATATATATATGATACACATATGCACATATACATATATAGAGATATAGATATAGATCTACGCAAGTATCCACATATTACACACATGTGCATATACATATGTATGACTGCATATGAAAGAAACATGGAATCGACAACATGCGTAGAAAGAAGCCCTCCTCCTCCTCCTCCTCCTCCTCCTGCCGTCTCCTCCCAGGTGGGTGTCGCCGTTGGTGGACAGCACCTCGCAGACGCCGTCGCCAACCTCCAGCACGGAGACGTCGAAGGTGCCGCCGCCGAGATCGAAGACCATGATGGTCTCGTTGTTCTTCTTCTCGAGGCCATACGCCAGCGAGGCGGCGGTGGGCTCGTTCACGATGCGCAACACGTCCAGCCCCGCGATCTTGCCCGCGTCCTCGCTTTTGGACGCGGCAAGGACAGCCACTCGTGTTTGTTCCGGGCGGCTCTCTCGTCGAGCTCGGGCTCTGGAAGTCGCTTTCCAGCGAAAGGGAGGCCCTCATCGAGTGCCACCGTTAGCCCCCCTCGCGGCGGCTCAAGCCGCGGCGACGAGCGCGCCCCTGGAGACCCAGAGAGGCCCAGAGATGAATAGAACCCAGAGGGACGACGACGTCGACGACGTCGACGACGACGACAACGACGAGGACGACAACGACGACGGCGACGGCGACGACGGCGGCGACGGCGAAGACGACGACGAGAGCGGCGGCGACGGCGGCGACTCGCCGTTACAACATGTGTTATGATCCTCGGCGCTGCTGCCCGTCCGATCCTCTCCAGCGGCCACTGTATGGAAGCAGACGGGCTGCGCGGGGGCCCCACCCACATGGATGTAAGCAGCCATGTCAACACCAACCTTCGGAAGCCGCGGGGGGGTTCTCGACTCTGCGCTGGAAGTCCCCTGGCGACGCCTGCGGCGCAGCCCTCGGCGAGGGCCGGGGTCCACCGTCGATCCCAGAACCCAGCGCGGACCTCTACAATCCGACTCCCACAAACACTGCTTGCCCCTGAAGGGATTATTACATGTGCCTCTAAACGGTTTGATGAGCCCGCGGAAATTCCACAACGCTGCCGCCCGTTATCGCCTCGTGCGCTGGTTGGGAACGGCGAGGAGGTTTCGCCACCTTTCCGCCCGTTGCCGCGTCGTTGCCGCCTCGTGCACTGGGTGGGAACGGCAAAGTTTCGTAACATTGCAGCCCGTTGCCGCTTTGTTGCCGTCTCGAGCGCTCTGTGGGTCTGGAGAGGTTTCGCCACCTTGCCGCCAGGTTACCGCATCGCTGCCGCCTCGTATGTCGTGTGTTTCGCAGCCTTGCCGCCCGTTGCCGCTCTGTTGCCGACTCGAACGCTGGGTGGGTCTGGCGAGGTTTCGCCTCGTTGCTGCCTCCTTGCCGCCTCTCGCGCTGGATGGATCTGGCGAGATTGCGCCACCTTGCCGCCCGTTGCCGCATTTAGCTTGCACCACGTACGCTGCCACACACATCTTACACCACATAGCTTGCACCACACAGTTTACACATCCACCCTGCAAGATGCACACGCTGGCTAAGATGTTTATTCATCAATCAATGCTTGCACTGAAGGGGTCCTAACAAAAAAAAAAAGATTTGGCGAAAGACTTCCCGCCGATTTTGGTGGCCGGCTGGGTTCCCAGGTTCCTGGTTCCAGGTTCCCGGGTGTCTGGCAAGTGGTCCCAGGCCGATGGCGCTGGGCTCCTGGTTCCCAGGTTCCCGGTCGATCGCCTCACCGATCAGGCCATCCACTGCTTGGGGTTTCTCTCCGGCTTCTCCGTGTATGATATCAGGAGAGGTGAGGGGCAGGACAGGGAGAGGTGGGATGGGGGGAGAGACTGGGGCGAGGTGAGGCCATCGCGCCGAGATGATGGAAGGGGCCCTGGGACACACAAAAAAAGAAAAATACACACACACAAATCAAACTATCCCCCCTCTTCTCCCCTCTTTTCGGGGTGTTTGTCTTCCCCCCCTTCCCATAGTTTCCTATATTTCCTGGGGCAATCGACGATGCATTGCGTCTGTGTGTTCCTTTCCCTCCTGGATGATGAGCGTCGAGCTGGAGGAGGAGGAGGAGGAGGGAGGAGGAGGAGGGAGGAGGAGGAGGGAGGAGGAGGAGGGAGGAGGAGGAGGAGGGAGGAGGAGGGCCAGGGAGCGAGAAGGGGCTCTCCCGGCCACGGCGAGCCTCGGCCACTCCGGAGCTCCCCGGCCCCGATTCCGGGGGGCCTGCCCTCCTACAGGCCGACTGTTTGAGCAACCGATACACCATCCGCTTTTTACTTTACAGCCGCAGGCGGAAGCGCCGACGGCGAGCGGTCACGGTCGGGCTGCGGCCGCGACTAAATTCCCGGGCGCGCGCGGGGCCGCGGATCAGGCGGCAGGCAGCAGCGACCCAGGGCGTCTGAGCCGAAGAGCGTGCAGATCCAGGGAGTCTGCAAGGCAGCCCCTGAAAGGAACATGCAACGGCGCATCCAGGGAGTCGCGATAAACCATCCGCGAAGCAACAGATTCCCAGAGGGGTCAAACATCCAAGGCGTCGCCCCCAGACTATGGCTCGACTAGCTCAGGATGCTCCTCCTGTAGAGTTGTGGACGCCATGGCTGTGGACACTCATAGCAATCCTACCATTGAATCAAAGATGTGATTAAACTGTGAAAGTTACCCTGGCGACGTACCCAACCCCTGCGCAATGCGGGGCATGAATAGATTGGGAGTCGTTATACGGAGGTGATGACGTGACATGGGCGCATACACTTCTGCGAGCGGCATTCGTGAGGCTCGCAGCCCCCCAAGGATTGCGATGTCCCCCTCAGATCTGCCTGGTGCCTCGCTCCGCTGGACCCACCAGCAGCCCTCGAACATGGCGACAATTTCGCAGATCGCAGCCCCCCAGGGACGGCGAGGTCCCGCTCAGATCCGCGCGGTGCCTAACTCCGCAGGACACACCAGCAGCCCTCGAAAGCGGCGACAATTTCGCAGATCGCAGCCCCCCAGGGACGGCGAGGTCCCGCTCAGGTCCGCGCGGTGCCCAACTTCGCAGGACCCACCAGCAGCCCTCGAGAGTGGCGACAGGTTCGCAGATCGCAGCCCCCCAGGGACGGCGAGGTCCCGCTCAGGTCCGCGCGGTGCCTCACTCCGCAGGACCCACCAGCAGCCCTCGAAAGCGGCGACAGTTTCGCAGATCGCAGCCCCCCCAGGGACGGCGAGGTCCCACTCACATCCGCGCGGTGCCTCACTCCGCAGGACCCACCAGCAGCCCTCGAAAGTGGCGACAATTTCGCAGATCGCAGCCCCCCAAGGACGGCGAGGTCCCGCTCAGGTCTGCGCGGCGCCTCACTCCGCAGGACCCACCAGCAGCCCTAGAAAGATCGCAGCCCCCCAAGGACGGCAAGGTCACGCTCAGGTCCGCGGTGCCTCATTCCGCAGGACCCGCCAGCAGCCCTAGAAAGGGGCGACAATTTCGCAGATCGCAGCCCCCCAGGGACGGCGAGGTCCCGCTCAAGTCCGCGCGGTGCCTCACTCCGCAGGACCCACCAGCAGCCCTCGAAAGTGGCGACAGTGCCTCGAAAGTGGCGACAGTCTCGCAGATCGCAGCCCCCTAAGGACGGCGAGGTCCCGCTCAGGCCCGCGCGGTGCCTTACCGCGCAGGACCCACCAGCAGCCCTCGAAAGTGGCAACAGTTTCGCAGATCGCAGCCCCCCAGGCACGGCGAGGTCCTGTTTGGATCCGCGGTGAGTGCCCTCTCTGCTGGCCTCCCCAACAGCCCTCGAAAGTGGCGACAGTTTCACAGATCGCAGCCCCCCCTCGAAAGTGGCGACAATTTCTCAGACCGCAGCCCCCCAGGGATGGCGAGGTCCCGCTCATGCCCGCACGGTGCCTCACTCCGCAGGACCCACCAGCAGCCCTCGAAGTGGCGACAGTTTCGCAGATCGCAGCCCCCCAGGGACGCCGAGGTCCCGCTCAGATCCGCGCGGTGCCTCACTCCGCAGGACACACCAGCAGCCCTCGAAAGTGGCGACAGTTTCACAGATCGCAACCCCCCTGGAACGGCGAGGTCCCGTTTGGATCCGCGGTGGGTACCCTCTCTGCTGGCCTACCCAGCAGCCCTCGAAAGTGGCGACAGTCTCACAGATCGCAGCCCCCCAGGGACGGCGAGGTCCCGTTTGGATCCGCGGTGAGTACCCTCTCTGCTGGCCTCCCCAGCAGCCCTCGAAAGTGGCGACAGTTTCACAGATCGCAGCCCCCCAGGGACGGCGAGAGGAGACAAGAGGGAGGCGGGAGGCGGGAGGCGGGAGGAGAAGGACGCGACCACACCCCTCTATTCAAAACGCATACCCAACCAAGGAGGGTTGGGAAAAGCTGTTCTAAACTTGTTCCAAACAGCTTTCACATGTGCAATACATAGTCGAAACATCGTTTAGACATCTGGAAATTATTTGGCAGCACGCTCCCTCTCCAATCAGTCGACTTCCACAACTGTAGAGGGACAGGCCCGGCTTACACCTAGATCCGAGGAGCGGCCCTAAAACGAGGGCGCCCCCTGAGCCCACAGCGGTTCTGCGCTGCAGCGCCTCGGCCACGGTCGGCCTGGATTGGACAGGACACGCGAGAGGACACGAGACCCTTTCGAGGGCCACATTGTCACAAGAATGTACGAAGCATGGGCCACGAGGCACAGGACACAAGGGCACCCTTGATCTGGCAGGGTCGAAATCCGGGCCGCCTGTATGGGGAGAGCGGAGCGGGAGTGGGGGGCAAGCGGAGGCGGTGGGCAAATCCCGCCGCTGAGGGCCCGAGGGGGGAGGACGGCGAGGAGGGGAGAGGGCAGCAGCGGGAGTGGGGAGAGAGAAGAGGAACGTCAGAACATCACGAGGAACGTCAGAACATCACGGTGAGAAATAATGTCATGATGCGATCGGCTAAGGAGACGGTCCAAGAATTTCAACACTTCTAGCGACGTTCGGCCACTCGGGCCCCGCAATTCGGCTGTGGCCTCGCGGGACAACAGGAGCAACTAGAAGACATCCTGGACCGTACCGTGTGATGACGTCTTGCTCCTAAGAGAGAGAGAGAGGAGCGCCCAAACCGTGCATACCGAGATCCCGTGCGCAGGCTGGGAGGCCGAGATCCCGAGATTCCGTGGAGGAGGAGGAGCAGCAGCAGGAGAAGGAGAAGAATGAGGAGGAGGGGGAGGAGGGGGAGACGGAGGAGGAGGGAGGAGGAGACGGAGGAGGAGGAGGAGGAGGAGGAGGATGAGGAGGAGGAGGAGGAGGAGGTGGAGAAGGAGGAGGAGGAAGGCACATCCTCGGAGGTCGTCTTGTGATCGATCGAAAGGCTGCTGAGCCCAAGGAGGGGGCCATGAAGCCCGATCAGGCTTGACTAAGCCAAGGCTTGAGCCCCTCCCCCTCATCATCTTTCCGCTCCTCCTGCTCCTCCTCCTCCTTTTTCTTCTGCTCCTCGTCTTTCTCAAGAGGGGGACTCAACCAGATTCAGTGGGATTACAGCCAGCCCGTATCACAAGGATGCGCGATAAGGATGCAAGGGCCCTGGACGCCCACTTCGAGGCTTTTCGAGCGGGGCGCGGCCGACGAAGGTGGCCAAGGGTGGACCGAGGGGGCAAGGATGCAAGGGTACCCTTAGGAAGGTTGCCCACCCCTACCATGCGAGTTGACTGTAGGTAGGATGGCACAGGTGTGTCGACAACGGGTCTACCAACACCGATGCTGGGCCGGACCGCCCAGGAGCAAGCGATGGGAGAGGAGATGAGAGTTCCAACCCGAGACCCCTGCGGAGGCTGGAGATGCTGAGGTGGGTCCCCCGTTAGCCGATCATAGCCCGTAGCCCAAATCCTCCGCCGGACGCCGGGAGTGGACACAAATTGTCTTGGGGTCGCCCTTCGAGTTGAGACTGCAAAATATCGTATCTTGCGAGATCTGCTTCTAACCGCTGCTGCTTTCCCCGTAAACGGGCATCTTGCTATGAGGGAGCATTGGCGCACCCTAGCACACTGCAGCGGTGCTTCGAAACGTTCCCGAAAGCTCCCCCTCCCCATGCGCATCTGGCAACATCCGAGATTTGCAGTGTCCTGGTCTCCATGGGGCCTGACACCCGCGCACCCTGAAGACCATACTCACATGTCATTGTTTGCACCCTATGTTCTGGGTACTGTTCCGGCTGGAGGCCTAGTGTTAGGTCGGGCCTGTCCCCCTACAGGGGGATTTTGGATGATTTCTTTAGTAGCTAAATATTCGAACATTTTCAAACATTGTTTAAAACAATCGTCCCCTATACTATGTTTTGACTATTTGTGAATATTCCCCCTGTGGAGAGGGACAGGCCCAACCTAAGCCTAGAGTGCCAAGACGCGCGGTCTTTGACAGGGCTCCACGGCTTGGGCAACGTAAGAGCATACAAACCATATCAACATAAACTTTTGGAGGTCCGCGTGGACATCTTGGATCTCGCTAACCCCCCCCTCGCCACCGCTCGGACGTCCATTCCCTGTGCTTTCTTCAGTTTCGTGCGTGTTTTTTCGCCAAATTTTCAAGGATGCTCCTCGATGGTCCTCGCCGAAAAGAAGAATGCACACGTCCGAGCGATGCCAAGCCCCTCCCAGGCGCGCGACGCGCGCCATGGGTGGCGCTGGAGGCGCCCACGGGGATCCAGCACCGATCCGAGGAATCCGCGCGGTCGTTCTCCGTTCTTCTACGTAAAGAAGGCTCCATGGTTGGGGCCAGTCATCGCGAGCAGCTCCGCCTCCTGCCTGCAGGCAAACTTCCCAGCGACGCCGCACGGAAGGCCGACGCTGCACAGTGACGGCCAACGGCTCCAAGGAACGAAGAGGTCTTCACACCTCCGAGCGGTACACGATTCACTGCACCGACCTTGCAGACGTGCTGCAGCAGATTTGTGCGTGGATCTCTGTCCATGCAGAACTCCAAAAAATTGCGAGCGGAAAATGGAATTAATTTCACGTGGGTGTTTGTCAGTCTTCATCCCTGGCCAAAAATATCCGCACGAAAAGCAATTCGAAATCCATAACGACATCCTCCAGGGCAGTCCAGGCCCATCCCATCGTTTTCCGAACGAAATCCGCTCTGCGATTCTGGCGCCATGGCACGATGGCCCCAGGGAAATACTTGCAACAGGGCTCACGAGGCGATCCCTTCCATGGTCCCCTGGGCGGCCGAATCAGCAGCTCGCGCTACGGTGCTAAGGCCTGCTTGACTCCGATCTCGATCGGGTGGTCGGGGCAGGGCACCGGGCAGCGAAAAGGCCTGCCAGGCCCCAAGGTGTTTGGACCCCGTCCGAAGGCGAGTGGCCTGTAGCCTGCTCTGCAGTGTGCTCGCGGTCCTGGAGAAAGCCTGCCAGCTTCCATTCACGCAGGCGCGGAGGGGAACAACAAAACCGAACACCGGCCCAAGCGACAGAGAAACAACCGCATGCGGCAGAAGCCTACGGACGCACATGCAGCTCTCGCCATCGCTCGGACGTACATTCCCTGTGTTCTTTGTGGTTTCGTGCGTGTTTTTTTCGCCAAAGGATCGAGGATGCTCCTCGATGGTCCTCGCCGAAGGAAAAACGCACACGTCCGAGCGATGCCAGGAGCTTGCAAGGACGCAGCGGCGCACCAACCTGCCGCACCGACCCGCTGCGGCCGACCGACCTCGCCTGCGACGCCGTCGAGCCTGGGATGGCGGCCAGGAGCGATGCGACACTCCAAGAGTGCAGGAGCGATCCAGTCCAAGGGTGCCAATCCAGCAGTGCCGCTCGACACATTCAAGCGCGAGAACGCAACTCGAAGAAGGCAGAAACGATGCCACCCCAAGAGTGAGGATGAGGAGGATGAGGAGGATGAGGAGGAGGAGGAGGAGGAGAGGAGGAGGAGGTTGAGGCACGCAGGCGCCTTGGTCGCCTGGCGCTGGGAGTCGTTGAAATACGCGGGCACCGTGACCACGGCCTCTCGCCGGAAAAGGTCGGGCCAGGCGAAAGGGGGGGACAGCAAAGGGGGGGGGGGAGAATCAGCTCACGTAGCTGATTTCCGCGGCGCCTCCCGGCGAAAACACACACACACACACACGTGGGAAAAAAAAACACGTGTGACAAAAGAAGACACAATCACCAAAAACATGTTTTTTTTTTAGAAACAAAAAAAGCACAAAATAGAAAGCACACGTGTTTTTTTTGTTCCACGTGTGTGTGTGTGTCTGTTTTTTGTAGTTTTTTTTGTGTTTGTTTTCCCCACAGTGTGTGTGTGTGTATGTGTGTGTGTTTTTTTTCCCACAGGCGCTGAAGACGGCTGTGTATCGAGGAATGGGCCCCTCGGTGGGGCCGAAACCAGCTGCACGAAGCAGATTTCGTAACCCCCCCTTTCACCATCCCCCCCTTTCGTCCGGCCCAAGAAGGAAGGGAAAAAGGCGGGATCGGAATGCGAATTCAAACTGAGGTAGTTGGAATCTCGGGTCGAGGTTGGGATGGGGGGGGATGCATGCAAGGGGAGAAAACGGGCGAAGGGGAAGGGAAACAAGGACAGAAAGGAGGAGAGCTCAAGTGAAGGATAGGGAAGGGCAGGAGGAAGAGAAGAAGGCAAAGGGCGCCATGGATGATGGTGAGGTTCGCACTCACCTCCCCCTCCGCCCCACCCCGCCAACCCAACATGCGCGCCGGGGGAACATTGAATAGTCAGGAGGGGAATGACGAAAACAACACAAACATGCACCAACGATGCTGCAAGAAGTGCATTGCAACCTCCCGTCACAAGACTCCCGCTTCCATCAATCCTTTCAATCACCCTTTCATTGCGCGAAATGCCCCCGCGTAAGAAAGACGAGCACGCCGTTTGCCCGCCATTCCGGGGTGGTGGGCTTGGCTCTGTTATGACAGAAACCGCACTCCGGCCTTCGAGCTACGAGAGCTGCGGCAGGGCAAGACAATTATAAGCTGGCCACCTACAGCCCCGCCGTGCAAAAGAGCCGCCCGCCGCTGGTGCAACCGCTGCGCAAATTTCAGCATTGGGTCAACCACCTGACGGCGCCTTCGAGGACGTGCCGTTTTCTTCGACAAGGGACCGCCGCCAATGGCTCCACAGCTGTGTCCACCACCGTGTCTAGAGGCACGAAGTGGAGCGTAGATCCCTGCAGGAGCTCACCTCCTCTAGTTCCAGGCGCGGCCAGGTGCTCCTGGACGCTCTTGGGGGGCTCATCGCCTGCCCCCCCACCACCGGGCCAGGAGAGCCCCAAGCGGCAAAACTGCAACGGGGTGTGCTAAATTCATTGATTTCGCCGTGAGCGTCTTCGGTCATCGCGGTAATCTCATCCGGACAGGAACACCAACGAGAGACCAAATTTGAAAAGGATGCGCCCTCCACTCGCGCAGCTGCTGGACGATTGTAAAGCCAGCGAAGGCGCCAAACCGACAGCTCCAACTTGAAATCGGCCCGTCCTCCATCCGTGACTGCTGAGAAACTCCAACGCCGCAGACTCGGAGAACAGCTCACACGGAACGCCCGGCCGGCCCGAGCGGTCCGTCTGGCGGTGCGACGGGAGGGGTGATGCATAAGGCAGCGGTATGATTTACGGGGATGGAAGTTGAGGTGGGGGGGGGGAGAAGAGTAAGCGCACGAGCAGCCGGAGCACCAGAAAGAGGACGCGAGGAACAATCGTGGTTCGACCCCCCCCCCCATCCAGCCCCTGCAGGAAAATGAAAGAGAAGGCGGGTGGAAGGAGAGGGAAACGGGCAGGCGGAGAGAAGGCGGAGAGGGAGCAGAGAGGAGACGACATGGTGAGGTTCGCCCCTTACCCCTCCGCCACAGGGGAAGGGGGGCGAGGGGAACGAGGAGGGATAGTGAAGACACACGTGAATAGGAAGAAGAGAAGAAGTGATCACGGTTGGAAGAGGTAGGCGGAGGGGCAGGAGAGAGAGAGAGAGAGAGAGAAACATGAGGAGGACGATTGCGAGGATGCGGGCGAGGGATGGACGGCCAGAACAGCAGTACCTGCTGCAACATACACTTCTCGAGTTCTGCGCGGAACTCTGGGATCGGCGATGGGCCCCCCACCCTGGCGCGGGAAGCGCGCCGACGGCGGTGCCAGAGGCGCCTCCTGGGGGGGTGTCCAACAACGACCATGGTCATCCGCGCGGGCATCCGACAGCCTGCGCTTCCGCAGCCCCCATGCCTGCTCTCCGACGGGCAGGGGAGTCCGCGGGGAAGCCGGCAAGAGCGGAGCATATCCGAGAGAGGCGCCGCGCACCGCGCCAAGCAAGAGCCCGACACCGGCAGGTCCTCCGGAGACGCCCTGGCGGCGGAAGGCGCACGCACGACCCAAGACCGATGAACGCTCACCGAGGAGGCGGCAGCCTGAGGTCGGGCGTGTCCCCATACAGGCGGATTTTGGAGAAACCTTTCTTTTACAAGATACCCCCCAAATCCTCAAAACAAATCGAAATGGTCCTGGCGATCCACCCAAACATATGCAGTTGTGGGCGCCGCAATTGTGAATATCTTCTTCGGTGAAGTTCCCTATGGGGCCACGAGGCGCTGCACTGGGTGGGGGGGAACGCATGCGGGCGGTAGCACTGGGGCCGTCGGTGGAGCCACTTACGGGGCCACGGGGAGCTCCGTATGGGGCCACGATGCGCTGCACTGGGTGGGGAATCACGCATGTGGGCGGTAGCGTTGGGACCTTCGGTGGAGCTCCCCATGGGACCACGAAGCGCTGGGTGGGGTGGACGCATGCGGGCGGTAGCGCTGGGGCCGTCGGTGGAGCTCTCTATGGGGGGGCCACGAAGCGCTGTACTGAGTAGGAGGGGCCGAATGCGGGCGGTAGCTCTGGGACCTCCGGTGGAGCTCCCTATGGAACCACGAAGCGCTGCGTGGGGGGGACGCATGCGGGCGGTAGTACTGGGGCCGTCGTTGGTGCTCCCCATGGGGCCACGAAAGGCTGTACTGGGTGGGGGGGGACGCACGCGGGCGGTAGTACTGGGGCCGTCGATGGAGCTCCCTGTGGGGTCGCGAAACGTTGTACTGGGTGGGGGGAACGCATACGGGCTGTGGCACTGGGGCCTTCGGTGAAGCTCCCTATGGGGCCAAGAAATGCAGCACTGGGTGCGGGGGGCGCACGCGGGCGGTAGCACTGGGGCCGTCGGTGGAGCTCCCTATGGGGCCACGAAACGCTGTACTGGGTGGGTGAAAATGCCGAATAGGACGTTTCGGGACGCATGCGGACGGTAGCACTGGTGCCTTCGGTAGAGCTCCCTATGGGGCCACAAAGCGCTGTACTGGGTGGGTGAACATGCCAAATATGATGTTTCGGGCGCGTGCGGACGCTGGCACTGGGGCCTTCGGTGGAGCTCCCTATGGGGCCACGAAATGCTGTACTAAGTGAGCGAAACTGCCACATTGGATGTTTCGGGGCGCGTGCGGACGGTGGCACTGGGGCCTTCGGTGGAGCTCCCTATAGGGCTACGAAGCGCTGTACGAAGTAAGTGAACATGCCAAGTTTGATGTTTCGGGACGCATGCGGACGGTGGCATTTGGACCTTCGGTGGAGCTCCCTATGGGGCCACGGAACGCTGAACTAAGTGCGTGAAAATGCCAAGTTTGATGTTTCGGGGCGCGTGCGGACGGTGGCACTGAGGCCTTCGGTGGAGCTCCCTATGGGGCCACGCAACGCTGTACGAAGTAAGTGAACATGTCAAGTTGGATGTTTCGGGGCGCGTGCGGACGGTGGCACTGGGGCCTTCGGTGGAGATCCCGATGGGGCCACGCAACGCTGTACGAAGTAAGTGAACAAAACCGAGTTTGATGTTTCGGGACGCATGCGGACGCTGGCACTGGGGCCTTCGGTGGAGCTCCCTCTGGGGTCACGAAGCGCTGTACTGGGTGGGCGAAACTGCCAAGTTTGATGTTTCGGGACGCATGCGGACGCTGGCACTGGGGCCTTCGGTGGAGCTCCCTCTGGGGCCACGGAACGTCGTACTGGATTGAAAAAACGCAGGGAGGAGGGAGGAGGGGGAGGAAGGAAGGGCGGAGGGAGGAACGGGGGGACCGTCTCTTCAAAACGAGGACCCAACACCACCGGATGGTTGGGAAATAAAAAAAATCGTCCCCAGACTATTTTCCTCATTACTCCTGTAGGGGGACAGGCCCGACGACACGGTAGCCTTTCGGGCGCCGCTGGCACTGCCTCTCCGCACCGCAACAGGAGAGCCGGCCCCGAGCTGGGGGAAACGAGCTGCAGGGGGCGAGCAGGAAGGAAGAGACGATGAGGGAGGGAGGGGGGAAAGGAGGGAGGCGGGGGAAGGGAGGGTAAGAAGGACGATGATGATGATGATGCTGATGATGATGATGATGATGATGATGATGACGATGATATTGACGACGACGATGATGATGATGGTGGTGAT